CTTCATCTTTACTATAAATTATGTTCAATCGATCATTTTTTAATGAACGATTTTTATACTTTGTAAATTTTAGGATTTATTATTTTTAAAGCCTTCCTAATTCTACCTACCGCGCCGATCTGAACTCAAACCCCGATATTTTCTGATTCGTATTATTTTGTATCTTCCGTTTGTCCGAACCATTGAACGTGCAGGACCGTTTCAAGGTCATCATAGGCCCTAGGCCCTTACAAAGTCGAAGGCCCTCCCCGATGTCATTTTCAATATTCTTCGCAAATGCACCCGCACTTCTTTGCGATTTGAAATTTAAACAAACGTTTCGAATTGTTAATTATTCTATGCAGTCTCTATGCACGCACCGGAATTACATCATGTGCTTCGCATTCGTCGTTTATCGTTAATCGTGTGCTTCATTTTTCTTAAAATTCTTATGTCCTTCTGGCTTTCGTAGGCCCTTGAAAAATAGGCCTACTGTTAATAAATCGGCTCGACGAGCGTCTGGGACTAAAACGTGAAAGATATGAGAGGCAAAAAATGCAAATAACACTAAGGTCGCTATTGTTCCCTCCTTGCTGCAATTGAGAAATATCAATAAAACAGAAGAATATTTGTCATTCAGAAAGAGTTACTTGTGATAATAATTCGGATAGAGATTGTAATGGAGATGATGAGATAATTGGTTTTGCTGGAGGGGAAGTGGTTTTTAATGATCATTGCGACAATAAAGTTAATGAAAATCATCAGTTTGAGTGGTTTTTAATGTTCTTGCTAATGCATCACATAAAAAAATAATTAATCGTCTCCGGGAGAAGTTGGTCTTTATGGCGAAGGGAATAGTTTTAATAAACAATTTCATAGTTAAAATACTGGTAGACATAATGAAAATAAGTTTTTTAATGCTGGTTTTTGGTATCAAAAAAGAAAAAGTTAACCAAAAAAAGATGGTAACCAAATAATGTCATGATTTTTCAGCTTTTGACGTTTCTAATTCACATGTCGTTACTTATCCGTCATATAATTATCGACATGCTTATTGTCATTTTACTAATTTTATTATTATAGCAAAATAATATAATATATATTATACCAAAAAAATATGTTATTTATATTTTGAAAAAATTATTTGTGTTTATATTTAAAATGTTTATATTATTGTGTTTTTATATAAAATTAAATACTCTTAAAAATTTCTGCATTTTAAAAGTTTTTCTCAATTCAATAGATAAAAAAATCTTTGTAGTTTAAAATTTGATGCTCAAGTGATTATTATCAGGAGTTTCTCAGCGTAAGAAATTATATTTGTGACACTAACTGAGATGTTGAAAAATATTAAACAATTTAAATTGATAATAATTACTCGCAGGAAGAAATTGTATTCAGAAACATGTGGAATATTCAGGCGTGAAATGGGAAGAAGCAATTTGCTACATAATAAGAAATTACGAGGTGAAATCAATTTGGTACAAAAATTATCTTGAGATAACCACGTTTGTTCAAGTTGCGCTGATTAAATGTTTATTAAAAATTGTTCACGCGAGGAATGTAGGTCATACGTTAATAATGTGTACGTTCGGTTGTACGTACGCTAGAAGGAACATGAAACTAATTAGCACTTGCTATTTGGCGTGCAAATTTTTCATTTTTCTTCTTTTCTTTAGGCGGTTAGATGAGGATGTTGAGAGAGAGAAAGAGAGAGAGGAAGAGAGAGAGAGGAAGAGAGAGAGAGAGGAAGAGAGAGAGAGAGAAAGAGAGAGAGGAAGAGAGAGAGGAAGAGAGAGAGAGAGGAAGAGAGAGAGGAAGAGAGAGAGGAAGAGAGAGAGAGGAAGAGAGAGAGAGGAAGAGAGAGAGAGAGGAAGAGAGAGAGAGAGAGGAAGAGAGAGAGAGAGAGAGGAAGAGAGAGAGAGAGAGAGAGGAAGTATGTGTAGTAGGTGATTGTGTTCTAACGTGTATAATATAATTATTATATACATAAATAAATGATTAATAATATTATTATTATCATCTTCGTTATTATTATCATTATTATTTTTTTATTGTCATTATTATTATTATTGTTCTCATAGAGCGTCCCATGCACAGCTACAAGAAGGCTCTGTTGTTCAGCAAACAGTAACGTTGTTGCAAGCCCGCTCGAATAAAAAAATGTCTCAGTCGCTTCTTACACAGAAACTGCGTGTATGAGTGAATTATGTGTACCTATTTTCATAATTGTGTACGTGAGTATCTGTCAAAACGTAGAAAAGTTGATTTGATAGAGATCGATTGTTACTAAGAGGTTGGTGTAGTGATTTAATATCATCAAATCTTTAAAAATTAATTAAATTTATCCAAGAATTCTGAAAAAATATATTGGATACTTTTTCATTTCAGAGATTTATATGGTCTATAAAAATGAATTCTTCAAGCGGTGAAGCAACGAGATTTTGAACAAGAGAACACAAAATATTTGAGCATTAAAACCAGTTGTATTTTTCCAAAAAGAAGCTGAACATGTTTTTAGAAAAATCTTTTCAAACATTATAAAATTTGTGAAAATACTTGTGAAACAGTTTGTGGACATTGTCATCATCATCAACATCTCTGTCTTCATCCATCACCATACTCATCACATCGCCGTCATCATCATCATCATCAACATCATCAACTTCACAATCTTTTATAAATCCACCTCAACATTCAACAAGCAAAATTGATTCCTTTTTGATACAATGCAAGAGTTGTTACAACAACACGATGAAATTATATTAACAACTTTTCCTTTCAAATGAAAACAAAAGGATAGGAAAGCAAACGAGTAGGCTAAATATTTCAAAGTCACTCAAAAAATTCTCCATGCAAAAGCGTCACATGAGAATTGTTGAAACATAATATTGTCCATCAGAAATATTTGTAACGCCTGCTATCGAAAACTGTTTGATTCATTTTTGAAGTTTTTGGTTGTCAACCAAACTGTTTTTGTCAGTGTTGAAATGTTGGGATCAATTTTAGTTCTTTGAGATTTGTGGTAGAAATTTATACTCGCGATAAAAATGTTTCTGTTGAACATTTGTTGAAAATGTTATGGATTTTTTAAAATATTGAAAATTCTGCTCAATCAAAATCAAATTGTAACGTTTAATATTATCTAAAATTATTTTTCTTATTCTCGTTGAGCTAACACGCATACAAAACTTTATGCAAACACACATGCAAACACACATGCAAACATACATACATTGAAGCACATAAATAACCACACATTCACACATACATGCTAACACACGTACATAAAAATTATAATGTTTCCATTTTTTAAAAACTTAAAATGTACAAAAAATAAATTTCAATTTTTTAAATTAATTTCTTAAAAAACCGAAAAACTTGAAACAAATGAGAATTTGAAAAGTACATGATGAAAGAGATGGCATGCGCTCTCCACATTCCATCCATCTAAACATCAGCATCTAATCAAATTTATATAATTACTTTTTCATTTTTTCCAAAAAAAATGCAAATCAAATAAATTTTTAAGAAATGTCATTTTAATTTGAAAAGCACTTGATAAAAATTATAGAAACATTTGAATATTTTGTATGTGTTTATCAACGTTAAATTATCATTTATTTCCAGTTTTAAAATCAAAAATTTTAAATGAAATTATTTATTATACATTAAAATATCAAAATATAAGATTGAAAGTTTAAAATAAATTTTCAAAAATTCTCAATTTATATGTTATATCAGCATGAATGTTTACATTTCCAAATAAAAAATATTAAGACCAGTCATTTTGATAGCTGTTACACTGACGGATTCCGACAATTTTTTGGGAAAGGGCTGGCCAAAACTTTGGTGACAGAAGAGAGATTTGATATGAAAATGTTGCATACCTTATTTTATAGCAAATTTTTGTCAAACTATTTATTAAAAACATTGCTTCTTTCATATAGAAAAAGATTTTATCAATAAGTTAACAATTTATTTTTATATAATGGTCAAAATAAGATCTATGTAAATAACGGGGGCAGGGCTACGTGGCCCAACCCTCCCTGAATCCGTCAGTGGTGCGATGAAAATTTTTAAATGTAGTGGCAAAATCAAGGAATTATTTCCATGAGAATGTTAAACAACTCTTAACATTCTGTTCATTACCTGACACAGTTACATGGATTTGCAACGGTTGGAACATAATGGGGCAATTTCGCTCTCTTACTTTGTAAAGGCGCATTTTTATTTCACATGTTTTATTCTATTTGAGAAGTTGAAGATTTTCAATATTTTAATTCAGAAGTTTTTTTTTCTCATTTCACGGAAACAAACGTTTCATACAGCTGTTAGGTGCTAATATGCTTGGAAGAAAAAAAAATGCTGACTGATACATTTTAATGTTGAGATTGTCATCGGTAACTGATGTAACTGATCGCTCTTTCTTTTGAAATTTTGTCATAATATTAACTAAACATACAATACTACAGATGAGTTATAAAGTTGATTTTGTTGTATCAACTTTGATTATTTAATTTTGTTTGTTTTTTTTTATCAACAAACAATTTGTAACAGCAGAAATTTAGTTTCATTGATTAATAGAATTTTGTTCATCTTTTATTTTCCATACAAATTTTTTTACTGGCATCACTGCAAATAAATCATACTGGTTTCTTTTATTCAAATTAAATATTTAAGAAATTCAAAAACTTTTTTCAAAAAATTCTGCTTTTAACATTCTGATAAGAAAAATGAATAGAAATAGACCGTTCACTTCATACTTTGCAGTATAAATTCGTAAAATTTTCAATTTTCACCTTAATTCTTTTTTTTATTTTAAATTTATTTAAATCATTAACATCTGTCTTGTGTTTTGTTTATTCGTATTGAAACAGTCAAAGTTTGTCATTCTCACAGTCAGTGGATAACATTGTTAACTGGTTCATTCATCATTAAATTTGAATTAATAAATGGAAAAATTTTTTTAAATTAAAAATCTTTTTTTTCAAACAATTACATACCATATATGATAAAGAATGTCACCTGAAATGTTGCAATCTAAGGCACAGTTAACTACAACTGTGAAGAGCAACGGCAAAGCTTATGTAGGTAGTAGTTAATTGTAGTTAAATGCTGATCCAGAAAATGTAAATGCAAAAACAGGAAGTCGTTTTTAATTTTTCATTAATATTGAAAAAATTTTGGTTTGGAAATTCTTAAAAATATGAAAAGAATTTAAAAAAAAAAACTTAAAACTGTCAGTTAAACTTTTTGCAAACATTGACAGATGAAATCGAAATCAATTTAAGATAATCAACAAACCTGTTCAAAGTATTTATTTATTTATTTATTGGGGGGAGTAATTTGAAAAAAAGAATCATTTTGCAAAGATTTAACTGGTGCTTGATACAGACTCTTGAAAAAAAAATCTGTTTCAATGATTATATGGATCTGCCAGTGTCAAATGCAAAGTCCACAGACGCTGATTATAACGGCAAATGACGGTTGGGAGGAATTAAAGTCGTAGAATTTCACAATCAATCAGAAATACTAAATCACTGCAAACAAACTAATTAAACTAAAAGCGTGAAAAGTTAGGAAATCTTCCAAGATGAATAAAAAATGAAAAAAATTGAATAAAGCGTTGGAAGGAGGTAGTGTGTGGACACCTTCCATCTCAGCTGTCCCTCACGGTTGATGTACTAAATTCCAGGTTTGTTACAGAAAAATGTGCCCTCCATAAGTTTCAACCAATCTTTTTTGTTAATCTCATGATATTTTAATGGCAATGTTTTTTCGTCATTTTAATTTCTAACCTCTAATTTACATTAAAAAGTTTTAAATATCACAGGAAAACGAAATAGTAAAATTATAAATGATAAATATTTCATTATGTTAACCTTCTTTCTTTCCCATTACGTACATTGTCTTGTGAAAACATAGCTTTCAAACGTAAATATTTTTTAATTTTCAATTATTTATTTTAAGATTTCATTAATTTTTTGCTAATCAATAGATCTGATTTGTTGGCACGACATGACTGCACAGCATAGAACAGCATAGCACACGTCAACACGCCAAGATGCACGCCTCTGCTCAGCCACCGCTCCACAGACAAAAAGCTGTATGTCATTCTGCATTGAACCAAGTCAGCGAACAAAATTTAACCGACAATACTTCAGAACTAATCTCGCCCATGATGACATACTGCTTATAGATATGAAACTGTAAATGAATGTGCAAGTATAAATGCGCTTGTCTTTTAATGAAAACACTCACTGTCTGTTGTAATAGAATCGAATGTTAAATTTTATTGCTCAGCTCATAAAATTGTAATATTCTGTTAACCAAATTTCGATGACGTTGTTATTTCATCATAAATACGTTGGCATGCCCGTCGTAACGTCATATTTGTCAATATTTTAACAGCCGCTTCATAGCCTGCTACCGATGCAAACGTGTTAGAGGTTCATTTCATTAAAATATGTTCCATTGGGAATGTGTCAGCAGGAACCTGTATGCAGCACATTTTAAGATGACGATTTCACATTTTTCAAACAAGTTACTTCCGAATTGATCTGACAATAATATTAATCATAGGAAAAAAAACTAAAAATTATAATAAATATAAAACTGCCACACCATGCCAATAATTAACCACCACAATGCTATCGCAAATTCCCAGCATCAACATCAATTTCATTTGTGTCGTCATCCAACACTCTTCCCACTAAACCATTGAACTTTAAATTCAAATATATGAATTCTAGATATTTGAAATGGAGGTCTTTTTTTTGTTGGCTATTAGTTGTATATTTCCTATAAAAATGATTTACATACAATGGCAGCACTGAGGTTTAGCATCGGAATTGAAATCTGTTTTCTGTTTTATCCTATATTTTAGTTCTTAAATTTTGAGTGTTCTATTGATAAAATATTATTAAGAAGCTGTAATAAAGTTACACATTTAAAATAAGAGGATTCAGTAAAAATATCGGCAGTGGCGGAATTAGAATTTTGCAGGGGGTCGGGTGACTTTCAAAATTCTTAATTTGATCATTATTTTGCCAGTTACCATATTTCGGCAGGTGAGTATGATTTTCCAGGTTTTGTATTTGACAATCATATTTTCGGCTCACTTCCTGGTGTGGAATGCATCTCCATGGATCTGCCACTAGACATGGGTTGGCTAAAAAATAGTCGTAAAGCCCTTAGACTTCCGAAAAATGTCACACCATACCCCTGGTACAAAAACGCGGTAGCAGTTTCATTCACTGCCCTGATGGTAGTTGTAGTATGAGGTTCACGTCGAAATAAATTTTTAAAATCTGTAAGCCAATTTTAGAGAAAAATAGATGCAACGAAGGAAATAATCCTGGATTTGCGATTCCCATTTGTAAATGGGTTTTTAAAACCTTTAAAACAATGTGAAATATCTTAAGAGTTTTATTTCATTTAAATAATTGTAAAAAAAATTTTCTTTCAACGATAGTATTTTTTCCCAATTATTTTTTTAATACCAGTAAATTTTACTTTGAAAACTCAAATTTGTACAATAATAAAAGCGAGAGTTAGAAAAATTTCCATTTGTTATTCACTTAGATTCTACATATACAAATATATTATATATATAAATTTTATTAATTCATGCGTTTGTTTTATTCATTTAATCATTCATTCAATCAATCAATCATTCATAAGTTCAGTTCGATCGTTCTTTCGTTCGTCTGCTCACCGCTTTGCATTCACTTGTTCATCATAAGAAAAGTACTTGGCATGATAACAACTACTGAACATGTTGTTAGTTATGTAATTATGGTACTGGAAGAATTGAATTTTTTAACTTTTACGCAAAAACGTATGTGATAAAATAAATACATATTTTAAAACATTGCAAAACATTGATTTTAATCTTTAAATAATCAAAAGATAATTTGCCCACACACAGACATACACACATACATACAAAAAAATACATACACACACACTCTCTCTCTCTCTCTCTCTCTCTATCTCTTCATTCTCTCTCTTTCTGTTCTTTTCCATTCAAAGTTTTATCAGTTGCGATGTATCATCACACACGAATCCTTATTGGATATTATTATCAAATCATTATCATTACTCTTGGAGTATCACAATCACCATTTCTACCACCACCACCACCATCTTCTCCATATTTAGAATCTAAATGCTGTTTACGTAGACTGAACTGAACAATTTCTCATATTAAACTACAACAGCATCCTTAAATTTTGCTTCGGCTTATCATTAGAATATAATTCGTTTTTGGCATTTTTTACTATATTTTGATACAATTTTTTTAAAGTGAATACATACATACAAACGCACAAGTGCACACATTATTGTTTACATAAGCACATACACTGTGACGACCACTCACGTTTCTGAAAGAGAACAGTAAAGTTTGATAATACCAATAGTGTAAAAAATTTAAAACCAATTTTTGTCAGTAAGGATTGTTGCGAGAATACCGCATTGATCTTCCCCTATACTGTGGGCAATGATGTTGCACGTGTGTTGCAAGCGCAGGTGTTGCAAACATTTGTGGAGATGTTGCAAACATTTGTGGAGGTGTTGCAAACATTGGAGGAGGTGGTGCAAACATTGGTGGGTGTGTCGCAGAAATTGGTTGATGTGTCTATTGCATAGTGTTGTCTATTTTCTTGATGCTGATGCCTTTCTCTTCCTATTGTACTTCCTTTTCTTGTTCCTGCCTCTCAATATTTTTGCTTTTCGTCTGGAGTCGTCAGCACAGGAATGTTGTTTCTCTTCATTCAAAGCTACTTTGATCTTACGTCCGCGTAAAACTGAGTAATTAAATGTCATAGCGAGGCCAACTGAATCAGCGTCCAGGAACTCAATGTAAGCAAACCCTTTTGATTTACCGCTTAACTTATCACACGGTATTGTCGTTCTACTGATGGCACCACAATTTTTAAAACGTTCGTTCAATTCTTCTACCGTAGTTTCCTGATCAAGATTACCTATCCATATCGACCTACTATCAGTTTCTGGTCTGACTAAGGTAATTGTGGAAATGACATCAACTGTTTTACGTTTGTGTGAGGAGGTGAACAATGAAGTTGGTAACGCGACCATTGCAGACCACGTGCTAGGCGTATCGTTCATCCGTTTGGCTTCTTCGCTTTTAATTTTTTTTATTTTCTCCGCTTCCTCTTGCATTTCACGAATCCATTTTTTCATTTCTTCTTTCTCTGCATCTTCTGAGTTTGCATTCTCATCAAACGAAAACACTCCAGACGAAAAGCAAAATTTTTAGAATGTTCATTCAATTCTTCCACCGCGATTCCATAATCAACACTGCCTTTCCGTTTTGATGTGCCATCAGTTTCTGGTTTGCTTATCGTATTTGTGGCATCAACTGTTTTAAGTTCTTGTGAGGTGAACAATGATGCTGGTAACGCGATCATTGCAGACCATGTACAAGGCATATCGTTCATCTGTTTTGCTTTTTCCATTATATTTTTTTTATTTTCTCCACTTCCTCATGCATTTCAAGAATCCATTTTTTCATATTGGATTCATATCAATATTTTTCAAAAAAACGTTTTTAGCTGACATTTTTTGGAATTGTGTTGCAGTAGATCACAAAATAATTATCCAAATAATTTCGATAGATAAACAATAAAATCTCAAAAATTTTATTTCACACCGTACTTGATGAAGTCTGAAAACGTTTTGAAATTTCAACCATCTAATTGCTTTATATACTCAAGAAACGACTTTGACTTAAGTCATCTCCACTTTTCTTTGTTTCTTTGTTAATTCGTTATTAAACTTTCTACGTACGTACATGCTTTAATTCACTTGTTCACGCTAAGTTCTATGTTAGTTCTAATTATCACTATTATTATAACTGCAATTTTATTTTTACATTAATTATCAATTATAATCCTATCATAACAACTTCTTATTTTTTTTACTATTATATATACATATATATATATTGTCATATCCGCTGGAATGGTCATTGCTCTCTATTTCTTAATTTCAATTGATTGTTATTTTTAATTCTTTGTTATCTTTGAAATATTTTTCACCTTTGTAGAACTTAGGATTTTTTGATTGTAAAAGGTGTCGATTGTAAAACAAGTGATGTGTAGGCACTGCACGAGTTGTAAAAGTAGCGAGGTTGGAGTAGCGGATCATGGGGTTGCGCTGTGAATTGCTGCCGACCGTGCGACATCGAGCTTGTTTCTTAGATTAGCGGACGATTCATGTTTCTGTTACTGTAGGCATTTAAATGAACGTTCAAAAAGTAGAGAAAACTATCAAAAAATCAGTGAACCTACGTGAACTTGACGATAGTGCGAGTCAATCAAATTCAGTTACAATACAATCGCCATTAATTATATATGTGTGATTCCATAATTCTGAATATATTGGTATGACGACGACCAAGTTATCGAAAAGACTCACGATGCACGTACAAACTGGCGTTATAAAGAATGACATAAAAGAGAAACACGTAACTAAAATTACTAGACAAATCCTGGACGACAATGTTGAAATCTTACATTACAATAACAACCATGATTATTTACGACTAGCCAAATCAATACTCATAGAACAAAGACATTCGATGATAAATATTCAACAACGGGCAATTGGAATTCTTCCCACCAATAAATTTAGAAACAGAAGAATCATCGATAATGAGAACACATAAAAATGTTATATTTATCGACAATGAAAACAAATAAAAATGTTATATTTATCGATGTCGAAAAATTTTAAAACTAAATATTCACTTTGGATAAACAATTAACCAATAAATAAGCACAGTATAAAAATATTTGATATCTGAGCACAACCAAAACATATCAATTTGAACACCGAAGATGGCATAGGAATACCGAAAAAAGATTTTCTGTTCTATTATGCATAAAACAAACAAAATTTTGGTTTTGAACTAAAGAAACTTGAAAATAATTTACGATCAACCATTAGAAAAATAGAAAAGTTAAATTGGAAATTAACTAACGCCGAACATGCTGTGATTTTCATCAATAATTGTATATATAAATATGTATATATATATTTATATATTATAATTATTATATGATCATTTATATAGCGCCTATTAAAAACATTGTCATAGGCGCTTTACAACTATGGCAATTTTCTACAAGGAAAAAAGATATGTCTTCAATTGACTTTTGAACTGGGGAAGTGTCAGACCAGACCGGCGCAAAAAATATGGAAGTTCATTCCAATGCCTTGGTCCATAAACTGCAAAACTACCTGATGCAATCTTTAATTTAGTAACCGAGACCACTAACAAATTTCCCCGATCTGATCGTAGGCCAGTTTTTAAAAAAATCGATGATCTGTCAATCAACATTTCGATATATTTCAGATATATATAGATATATATATATATATATATATATATATATATATATAAATCGAAATAGATCCTATACACTCGAGAATGAATTGAAAAACTGTACATTATTTTAACGTTATTAAAATGAATAATGACGACAAGAATTTGGTTCGAAATATTAAGAAATGTGATAAAAAAAACTATCCATTTGGTAGATTTAATAAATTACTGCATATATATATATAAAAAAATATATATATATATATATATATGGCACCAATCTTGTTGCAAAAAAATTTCGTCCTGTCAATTTTCTTCTAATGAGGATGGACATTCATTAAAACTTTATGAAAAAAATTGGCTGTCAAATGATAAGCCAAAAAACAAGCAGCAAGTAATTTTTTATTTTTTTTAAAAGTCATAACAAATCAAATTCAAGTTCTTTTCACGTAGCCAAACAACGCCTCATTCAAACATGCATCCCAACAAACTCAACAGACTGAACTGAACGACCAAGAAGACAAGAGAGTATTATTGATTCAAAAACAATTTCATTCGACATGAAATTTTTAGGATGCAACCAACTGCTTCTTCACACATTTCACGTACTATTCACTACTTCGGAGAGACATTAAAACGCTGACTTCGTTAAAAAACGTATTTCAAACAAACAATAATGAAAAAACGCAATAAAAAAACTATAATACGTGAAAATAAAAATAATTAAAAAGAAATTAAATTTTCTATAATTTTTTTCGTATCAAATAAATTTGGTAAACACCTTTGAATGTTTAAACATTGTAAACAAAAATACTTCAAAGTTTAGAAATCATTCGCCTAAACTGCATTAACATTATTAAACAGAAAAAAGATTCTTAGAAACAAATGTAGCAATTAGTGGCGGATACAGGGGGGGGGGGGTGGTGGTGGTTCGGCTTTGGAGGCCCGTTATACCAGCTAAGATCAGCCAACTTTATATTATTATATTATAAACTTGATGATTAAATCTTTATCGGCATGTAAGAAGTACTGTTTAAATAGAAAACTCGATGAAAGTTGTTGTTCAAAAATTAAGATGATTATAGTGGGAGTGAAAAGTTGAAATTGTTTTTTTTTACTAAATCATGATTTATTCATAATTATTTCTTATATATTTTTACATTAAAATCCATAATTATCTGCTATCGAGACTTTTAAAACATTTTATATAATAATCAATATTGTGTATGTGTTAATTTTCTTTAATAAATAACCAATTTATTTGAAAAGAGACTCCAGAAAATTTGATTTTAATAAAAAAAATTATTTGTATACAATCCAAACTTTAAAATTTTTGATGACAAAAACTGTTGATTTTTTAAACAATTTCAGATGTAAATAAAAAATTGGACTTCTTTTACCCACTTAGAATGCAGTCTTGTAGCATTTCAAATTTCATCAACTTATTCAACATAGACATCCGAGATAATTTAATTAGTTGCTAAATTTATTGATCGCAAAAACATTTGAAAAAACAAAAGAAATATAATTAACAGCTGAAATGATCCACAAACCGAAAACCTAGAACTGACTTTTAACTCGCCATCTTCGCAATTGACGCCTGATACATGCACCGTCTCGGGAAACGTCTAATTCTTCGCCACCAACGATATTGCTTCCAGTATTAAAAAGAATCAACAAAACCAGAATTAACATAATTAAACAAACCAATCGTCACTGCGACTGAACAATGGAAATTTTGAAGCAGGCGACTCTTGCACCGATGATCAAAAAACATCTCCCCAGTTTTCTACTTAATTTCATCGACAAAGACAATGAAACTTTAAACACATTCCTTTTGCATAATTCTTTTACTGATTCTTGTGAAAAACCGAACAACAAAATTTTCGATCGGCTTGTACAAATGGAACTCATTTACATTTTTCATACTAAAAGTGAAAAATGCAAAATCAAACTTTATCGAAATTTCACGGAAAATATTAATTTTTTGATTGATAATAAAGAATACGCTAGCAGCAGAATTAAAATTGATAGTTACAATAAAAACTTGGTGAAATACTCCCACACTTATGGTTATCATTGTAGTTATTTAGATGGTAACTCATTCAACTACACTCTGCTGAACTCAGAGGAACAAACACATGCAGACCCAAGGCAGGCGTACAACAGCAATGACATCTCACATGCCAGTTACGACGAACCAACTGCATCGTACATCAACACTTTCATCCTCACCTACATCCCTTTAATCATCTACATCGTCGGAGTCCTGGGGAACTCTTTGTCCCTATCGGTCCTGGTTCGTAAGAGGATGAGGAGAGTTTCCACGTACACGTATTTGTCCGTGTTGTCCGTGGTGGATACGTTGGTGCTGACGATGGGACTGTTGCAGTTGTGGATCGGCGAGAGATCGAATTTAGGCTGGCTGAGGGACCAGTCGAATGTGGCCTGTAAGACTTTGAATGTCTTCTCTTACTCGATGAGTGACCTGTCAGTCTGGCTGATCATTGCCGTCACTGTGGAGCGATTCATCGCTGTTTGTCATCCACTGAGGGCTGCTTCCATGTGTCGCAGGAGGACTGCTCTCAAGGTTCCTTTGCTTAACTTAAGTTTTTTTGAGCATATCAATTTCAGTTTTTTTCGTTGAAAAGAAAAATTAAATAATTAGTTTGAGCAATTTTTACTACAACCGAAGACATATCACCGATCCAATCTAACTGGCATGTTTCTGGCATATTGCAAATTTTTTAAAGTTTAAATAAAAATAACTCGTTGCCTTAATTATCTATCGCGTTGAATTAAAACTTGAACTTATTGCTAAATTGATAATAAATTAAATAAAATTTTGTAGGTGGTATCGTTGTTGTTCCTGCTGCTGTTGACTGTAAATGCCCATTTTATCTGGACTACAGAACTGAAGGTGATCTGATGCAATACCTAAGTAAACTTATCGTTGGTTATAATTTTACAAATAAAAGACAGTATTGGAAATATAAAATAACAGTCTGTTGTTGTGGATATAAGAGTAGAGTTGTATAATTTACCATTCATTTTGAATATGTTGATTTTATTAGATAATTAATTGTTGCAACATATTTTTATTTAAAATTATTACAAATTTTTAGGAGTTTTCAGAAATGTTTTCAACGTACGAAATAACCGAGGAAGGCACGAACCTCTGCTCTTCCGTGAAGAAAAGTCGCTGCATGGCTGCGGGAGGGCACGAGGACTTCATACAAAAGTACTGGCCGTGGGTGGACGCGATTTTTTATTCCTTCCTTCCATTCGTGGTGATCATCAGCCTCAACTGCATGATCATCAGACGTGTGATGGTTGCCAGGAGGAGGAGGTGGAAGATGATCAGCCAGTCAAGCGTCTCCGTCAATCGCTCTGATGCCACGTCTGCTCATCTCCACCAACATCAGCTGAACGCAAGATTTAAAAAAATATTTCACAAAGGTTTGAAATATTTACAAATAATTCAAATGAAATGAAACTTAGCTTGAACAATAGGAATTGTACATCAAGCAAAATAAATTGGTTTAATGCTACAAATTTGTTTTGTTGTTTATTAGCTGTACCCTGCAAGCGTTACATAGCATCGGGATATCTAACAAACAAATAAGCCAAGTGTTTAGTCGTTTCAGCAGACTTGAATAATAAACATGAGCGCTTCGGAACAACTGAACCAGTGTACTAAGAAGTTCCGATTTTAAATTTCAGATGTTTCATATCGGGAATTAAATTTTTAATTACGGACACCAAGTCCGATCGTCGACACCAAAAAAATTTTCATTAGTTTTTCAATGTCCAAAAAATTTAGTTTAGTTTCTCGATGTCTCGATATATCATGAATTTCTCGATGTAGAAATGGAATTAAATTTGATTAATTAATCAGACATAATTCACTGAACCCTTACCAAATTAAATACGTTTGTTAGATAGTTTATTCTAAAGCACACCCACTCTGAAATTTTCAGCTGGCTTGGTGAATCGAAAGTGAGTAACAATATTAAAATAGAACATTGCCTGGCAATTTGGCAAAAAAAAAACAAGTAAAAAAAAAGAAAGATTTTAAAATAAGATGTTCAACATTTTCAAATCATTTTTTAATGGTTGACGGTTTCCAATTTAAGACAATAGGCAAAAATTTTTTTGATCTGATGTTTTGAATAATTTCACAAATTTCATGCATAAAAATATCTTGCAAACACATTATTGCAATTAAACTTTTAAATTTAATGGAAATAAAAAATTCCAAAAACTAAATTTTTTATAACTGCTAACAACCTGTGTACTCCACCTATAGAGCAAAAAGAAATCTCAAATTTTGGCTCTATGGAAGTTTGCCAGAAACAACAAAAACAACAGTACCACAAAAGAATTCCAAACAGTTTATTAGATGGAATTTACTGCAAATCAAATAATCATTTTTGTAGCCCTATCACAACAGCACAAATAGCAGTTTCAACCACAGAAACATTGCTAAATCAAAAAATTAAAAATCCTCACTTCCCAGTTCTTTACTCTCCAGTTCTTTACTCGCCGCAGTGCAGCACCGCACATGAACTTCACACTTTGCATCACCAAACTAAATTAATTCACCAAACGACTAGTACGTTATCATTGACTGATCGGACATCAAGCAAGGAACAGAACGAAACGAAATGCATGCTAAGCATCATGTTGCTCACAATCTCCTTCGCCTTCATCATCATGACTCTGCCCCGGAACATCTACTTCATCCTCGTCTACTGGTCAAATAGTCATGCAGGCAGTGCAATGCATGATGTGGCGAGTGGAAACAGAACTGATGGTTACAACAAAAGTGAAATTCTTGAGAATGAAGAGTTTCGTACGCACGCAAAGTTTGTTTTTAAAATTAGCATGAAAGCAGTTTTTCAAAAATATCAAGCCAGCATATTAATTAATTAATAGATAAAAAAAAGATCAAAAAAATCATAGATTGATGAATAAAAGATATTTTTAATTTAAAATATCAATTTATTTTTGTCATTAACTACAAATTTTATATTTAAAACTTAATTCTAGTCTAAAAATTCAATCAATTCCATAGCCTCCTGCTAGCTTCGACCCTCACAGAAATGCTGATGTTCCTTAACCACTCCTCCAACTTCTTTCTCTACTGTGCCACCGGTCAAAAGTTTCGAATGGAGCTAAAGAAGATGTTGTTTCCATGGAAATCATGCTTGTCATCAGCACTCTGCCGCTTGCTCTGCTGCTTTCCAAGCCGTTATCCAAATGTGGTCAAGAACAAAAACAAAAATGCAGTTTGTAAATACTGTAAAGAAACAGAAAATAAAACTGAGGCCGATAAAAAGAATAGATCTAAAAATGAAAATGCAACAAAGTGCAATACAGTTCAACAACTGGAGATGCATGCAGTGGAAAGCGTTGATGTTACAAGAAAAACTGATGCTGGCAATCTTCACGACCGTGACATGCACGATCTGTAACGCTGCTATTCGTTAGTGCATGTACAATGACGAGATAAATTTTCGTGAATAATTTTTTCAAATCACAACTGTCGTAAAACGTTATCGCGGTTTTATCAATCTCCAAACATTTTTAATCACTTTTTTTCAATTTCAACACATTCAGCAAAAAGCATGGAGACACAGACTTTCTGAATAATTAACCTTGAAATATTTTCAGCATTTATATCGTAGAATTTAAAACAAGTTAATAAAGTTTGTAAAATTTATCTGGTTTCAATCTTGTCACTAAACCTGTTAAGATATAATACTCTCAACTTACTCAAATTTGAATAAACTCCACTAAAATGTTCAGAACAAAAACTAACTTTCGTTTTCTTTTTTGGATATATCGCTTCAATTTCTATTATTGTTTGTCCAAAAATAATGTGTTATGAGGAAAAAATCATTTTATTTACATTGCTGGGATTTAGTTTAAGAATAAATCAAAATAAGAATTGAGTTCAATTTTAATGCTAATTTTAATATAAATTTCCTAATACACTTTCCTCAATTTATATATACAATTTTTAATTCAACTTCCTTGAGTAAATTCAATAAATTGTTTCATATTTTATGATTATCGCAAAACTACTCTGTTTCAAAAATAAGAAATCTGACATGTTTATTGGTAAATATTGATATTTGCACCAACCTAATAACATCAAGCCAATTAAGTAGCTGACAATTAAGATGAAGTTGTTAATCATTTTTTATACATTAAAAAATATATATAGCACAAATTATCATGCAAACTATATAACTATAAATAAATAAATTATAAATAAGAGTCAAAATTTGTTCGCATAATTACAAGCAGGGTGTTGGAGCCCGGAAAAATATCCTGTTTCGCATATTTCGACTCCGACACTCTGATTATAAATGTTGTAAATTTTAACAATATTTTTATAATAAATAAAAGCCAAAGCAGATAACTATAATATACTTGGAAGTTAAATTATAATTTTTCATAAATTTTTAGTTCTATCAATTGTTTAAATTAATATGTTGTTTCACTGTGTGTTTGGTGCTGACGTTTCTGAGTTGTTCAAGTTTTGAATCGGAATCGAGTGAAAGCGATTTGAAATGTTACATAATCGATCACACACTGGAACTTGATTTTCAAAATCAGCTACCTTCGTTGGCATTGACACAAATATAACTTTAGAGGTGTCTAACTAAAATCAAACATCGAAATCAATTTTCCAATTTTTTTAATTTTTTCTCGTTGGCATGCAAGTTAGGCGTTAATTTTATTGTCAACTGTGTGTGATTTTTTAAAATTATCGAATTTGAACTAAAAAATTGTGTGGTATATTCAAAAAAATAGAACTGAAAATGTATATAATGTTATTTCATTAAAATGTTTTCATTAACTACAATCCCGCAAATCAGTAGGAAAGCCACTATTCCAGCAAGTTTGCCTGTCTGCCATGTAGCGACTGTTTCATTTCTTCTAGTCGGTCTCCACATTTTTTCGTTTTCTTCTTCGTTATTTTCATTTCTTTTCTTTGTTTTGCCACTTTTTTTCGTTTTATTTTTCTCTTTCTTTGTTTTCCCACCCTTTTTATCCTCCTCCTCCTCAGTTTGGTCACTTTGGTCCTCTTCACCGTAAGTGCCGGCATCTTCAGGCTCAACTTTCTTAACGAGGATGGGATGAAAATTCTCTTCACTGGCTCCAGACTTATCCCTAATCTTTCTAACAGTCTTGTTTAGAGGTGCTCTATGTTTAAATTTATTTGGTTCGGTAGTAACAGCAAGACAGGCGACGATTACAAATTGCCAGACGCACATCTCCATGTTAGTAGAATTTGAATCAAGAACTAAATGTAACACAAATTTATAAATAATATTTTTTTTTATTTATAATTTACCCGCGTATAACCATTTTTTTTTGCTTTTAAAAAACGTATGTTCTTTTAAGTAATAAAAAACGTAAACAAAAGAATATATGTTATTGGTTGAATTACGTTGAAGGGAAAAATAAAAGATGCATTTATTGAAATTTAAAAAATGTTGGACGACGTCACGATGTTGAAATGAAGTCACGATTATTTTTTCCAAATAAATTTAAACGAAATTTTTAAATAATTAATTTAAGTTCATTGTTAATTTATGTATTTTTATTTTTTATTAACATTTTTTATTTAATTTTGTAACAAATTAAAATAGTTAAATAATTGTAACGTTATAATATAGTCAGGTTCTTGGCATCAAAAATTAAGTCCAACGGATCATCAATTCAACAATCATTCATTTTTCCTCTTGGAACCAATGAAAAAATGTCGACTGGACAGTTCTCCAACTTTCAAAACACAAAAGTTTGCACCAATTATTTAGCGTTTGATCAGCCTGGTTCGAATACTGTCTGTCGGAAATTTAAAGACCATCATATGCGTATCATGCAGTGCTTGCGCGTTCACGAAAAATTAATTGACAAGCATAAAATAATATGCAAGCATCTCTGCGATTGATAGAATGAAAAAATGTGATTTATTAAAAAAACCATCTATGAACAGTTATTTGAAAATTTTTATTTTTCCTAAATTAACAGAAAATTAGCAGAAAGAAGACGATTGTAAACCGGAGCGTTTAGGTTCAATTAATATATCTGATAAGTACTTAGAAAATAATTTAGATTGAGACTTGTACATAAATGCGCAAATTTTAAAAATTAGTCAATATTTTATAGGTAGCCAGTGCAAGAGAAAAAGATATGGAGATATATGAGAAAAGAAAGGGGCACGAGCAAATAGACGAGCAGCTGAGTTAAAAGCTTTACTTAAAGGATAGAGTATAGAGTCCATAGTAGAGCGAGTTACAATAATCAATCCTAGATAAGACTGACGAAGTAACAAGAAGGAGAAGAGTAGGATCATCAAGAGAAGGCAAAAGTTTTTTATTCTACGTAGATGAAAGCAAGAGCTTCTAGCAACACTATTAATCTGAAAAGAAAGAGACATACTAGAATCAAAGATAAAACATAGACTACGAAACTTATGAGAGAGATCAAGAGTTTTAGAATCAGGTAAGATAGATAATAGTATGTATAGTAATAGAGTGTTTAGATTTATAAAAACAAATTAATTCAAGTTAACTAAAATATGTCGCAATATATGTAGTTACAAATAATTTTTGATCAGAAGTAAGGTTTAATAAGTCATAAATATTATTAATAAAACGTATAAAAATTTTTAAATTAATGCAAATTTTATTCAATTATATAATAGAGTGCAAAACAAAATAATTTAGTAATAATGTACCTAGCAATGTTAAAATAAATTAGTGATATTATGGATTTTAAACTTAAACGGGGCTAAAACTTTAGAACTAGTTATATGCAACGGGTTAAGAACATTTCTGGAGGTTTATCGAACATCTTCATCTAAGGCCGGATATAAAGTAGAGGCAAAAAAAGGTATAGACTTAATTGTTGGCTGGCTAACCTTCTTTCACAACAGCCAGTAAAATGCAAATAAATACCTTTATCTTCAATGTGGTCTTTTTTCCTTTTTGGAGGTCTCGGACCCATCTTTAAATTTGGCCTTGTTACCATCCAAAGGCCTCTATGAACTATTGGGAGAAATACAATTTAAATTAGGATCTTTAATATAAACCATCGTCAAATTTTTATCTCAAACTTTAACATATGCATCTACTCCAATTAAGTAACATTTAACAAGTTATATATTTACAATTTTCAAAAATGAAATTTGGAAGCATTTAAAACCGATCAAAATTTTAATGATTTATTTGGAAAATAATCAATAAAATAGTCATTCATAAAACGATAATAGTCGTTTCATTGAAATAAAATGAAAAAGATGAAAAACACGCCAAAATAAAATTTTATATCATTCACTAAAAACATGGAACATACATTCAAATATAGATTGATGGAACAAAATGAAACCATTCACATGCACCCACGTATAATAGTGCAACGATCATCTCAACCAGTATCGTATTCACAGCGCAATTAACAGCAACGAATATGGCTTTAAACTACATTTTAGTTAGATGAAACAATTTTTTAAGTGTTATAACTCTTAAATTAGGTGAGACAGTCCCGAATTTTGTCAACCCTTGCCCAATATTTTTTGCTTTTTACGCACCCATAACGAATATTGAAATAGTAATTCAATAATGATGGTATGATGTATAAATGTTTGTTTTGACATGATTGTCTTCAAGAGAGGACGATATATATGATTATTTGAAATTGGAATTTTTATGAAAAAATGTCTGTATACAACTATACATATATATATATATATATATATATATATATATATATATATATATATTATATGTAGTTGAATTAATAATAAAAATTATTCTCTTACATTTTTGTTTATATTTTTATTTTTGTTTGAACTTTATGTATGAACAGAACATATTAACATATCTTCATGTACATTGTTTATGTGTTAAAATTTTGTAGTTAATATTGTGTTGCGGGCATAGGGACATTTTGTCTTCGCCCATGTTTTTTTCATAATAATAATAAATTTAAGGAAATGCGCTTAAATATATTTACGTTACGTACATAAACGTAGATTTCTTTGATGTTTCTAACACAAATACATCAATAAAACCATATTTTTAACCAATTAACTGCACTGCTATGTCAGTGATGATAAGGATTCTAACAAATCACATAAAAGAAAAATTTAGAATACCGACATTTTTCGAAAATGCCACTAGAAACTCGAAATTTGCAGTATCGTTCTACGTTTGTTTCATGCCAATTATTGCTAGTGCAGGTCCCCTTAAGATGTGTGGTTGGCGGGACTCGGAAAATGGTAGTCCCCAGGTGCCACTAGAGACTTGAAATCTGCGCTCTCGTTAGTGCTCTTTAGTGCCGTAATTATTTTTGTTAGGGTTGCTCGCTCTTTTTTCTTAAATGCGAAATGTGATTTTCTGTTTGGATTTACTTCCATAGCCTTATCCACAAATGGCCGCAAGGCAGCGAAAGTTTGTATTCAGAGTTTCCCTTTCCTTGGTGGATGGCCAGACAAGCTTAACAAGCACTACCTGCCTGGAACGAATGTTTAAGACGCCAGTTACTCGACGTCGCCCTCTCCTGTTAAACAGCTTCGCTACGTGAAAGCCAGAAGAAGGACTTGACTAACCGTAGTGTGACACACCCACTGCCAATGGGAGTATTTTCTAAGAGATAGGAGTTCAATTCCCAACCCGCCCAAAGCTTAGTCAACCCATTTGAAGCCTATATATTCAGGATACACACACACAAACAAACACACTCACAATCACAGATGATCTTTATAAATATTATTCATTGTCAGCTTGTGAGTTATTAAATTTGCACCAATTCACTGGTATGCATGATATCAGATGTTTCAAAAATGAAACTTTTATCTAATAGATTTCAATTTGCTGATTTCAAATATGTAATCCATTTTTTTTCTATCACGTACAGTTTTTTCATAATTCCAAAATAATGGCTTACAACATCAAACAACTGAAATAAATTATATAATCCAGATAACGTCTGATATTTCAATGATATAATCCAATATATGTGCAACAAAATCTGTGTATATATTCATTACCCACATGGATAATGTTGTATGCACACAGACACACACATGTGTATATGAAATTGCTTATATAATCCAAAATCTAGGCCTGCCGGTTTAATTAAAATAAATTCATTATTTAGTATTGAAATTTCTATTCATTTTAATTTATTTGATTTAACATCACTACTAGTTCGATTTCAGAAAATGTTGTTTGAATTCTCCCCATTCATATTTGTGAAAATCAGGATACACGCCTCAGAAGCAAAGGCTGTCCATCAGTGGACTTGTGAAAAAAATGTATCATGCATATTTAAAAAAAATTAGGTGATCAAGATAAACCATGGGCATCTCATGTTTTATGCAGGACATGTGTAGAAGGACTAAAAAGTTGGAGCAGAGGTTTGAAAACTTCTTTAAGTTATGGAATTCCACTAATTTGGCGTGAACCCAAAAATCACACAGCCGATGGTTACTTCTGCATCCCGACAGCCCCTCTCCTCCCGAAAAAATAATCCTAGCTACGGTCTTGAACACATATATAACCCTAACCATAGCTCACGAAAGGAACAAAATTTAGTGGCCCAACCAGCATCAACCGAACCGACCTGCACAGAAGTTGTAAAGGTTCAACAGAGCAGCAAGACGCAACAGAAATTGAAATTTTGGGTTTGTGACAAAACATGTTCTTTCGTTTTTATAACTTCGCTTTTAATACTAAAATGTAAAAATATCAAAATATGTTGCAAACTCTTGCAATAAACATAAACAACAAATATTATTTTTTATGTTGTTTCTATAATTTTGAAATACTTTAAATAATTAAAGTCCTCTTAGTTGGGAGTCCTTCAAGAATTGTGACCTTGCACTTCCAAGGTTCAGTTCCTCTCTACTCTGGTAAAAGAGATTTCTGTTATTGTCGGCGTCGGCAGTAACCTAAATGAAGTGAACATGAACATCTTTTTGCTAACTTTAGTTTAGGGAATAAATCAAGATATTTGTTAACAACTCTTTCAACTAATATTATTTTTTATAAAAAAAGTATTATACTTATTTTATTCTATTTATATATATCCAACAAAACACTCAGATTGAAATTGAACAAACTATTTTTTCCCATTTCATATAATCATTTCTTTTTTATATATTAATTGATTTCAAATCATCTAAAATTTTTTAAAAATATTCTGATGTTAGCTGAGCAAACCTATATTTTTTTAAAAATCATATACATTCGATTAGTTGTAATTGAACAAATTATAAAAAACGTTCATTTGTGCATTTGCATACATACATGTACGTACACGTTGTACCTGTCTTTGAAACGATATCTGGTTATGTTTGCACTGGTAAAATAAAAAGCTTCTCTGCTATCTGTGTATAAATGTACATTTAAATTTTAATTCGGACATTTCATGGTTTTTGAGGCTTATATTTCAATAGATTTTTTTTTGTGACGCCTGCCCATGTTTATATGAACTAACATCGCCGATGCATACAATATTCTTTCTTTCTCTTTTTTTTCTCTTCTTCTTTCTCTCTCCCTCTCCTCTCTCCCTCTCCTTCTTTATTCTTTCTCTCTATTTATCAACACCACAAATAACTGCACGCACGTTCCGATATGTTTGATCACTTGTGAATTATGTACGTACATGTATTTATTTCAACCGTCATTCATCCCTCTTCATTGCGTCTGAATGGTTTTTTTATTTTTACTTAATCATAAATCACGTTATAAACTTGTTTCTTTTATCATCATAAGTTAACTATTTAATTTTCATTGTGTGCATTTTTTCATATATGTTAAACCTTTGATTGTTTTTCTGATAAAACGAATAAAAGTATTTTTTTGAAAAGTATACAAAGCACGATTAAAATATAGAAATAGAATCGTGAAAAGTTGTTTAATTACATCGATCAATCTAATTTTTTCATTTATATATTTAACGAGGTATTAAAAACATTTAAAAAATTGTTTAGTGACTTAATCATTAATATCCTTTTTTGCATGCGAGTTAGAACAACTTAAACAAAACTATTGTCATACTCTGTTGTGTACGCTATATAAATACCTTTTTATTTCTAGCAGAATGATAAATGCCTTGAAATTAGAAATTCAGAAATATGGAGAAAATACTTCCATAAGGGGTTTATCTAAACTGTTCAAGTCAAATGATAAATTTTTAAAGTTGCTCTGGTTGATTTTATTGCTGGGGTCTTCAACATACATGACTATGAGACTGGACAAGCTGTTTTCCGATTACTACTCCTACCCTGTTACCACAGAGTACGGAGAAAACGTTCGTGCAGTTCTTCGTACATATTCACACTCGCATGTTTATTTTACAGCAATGTCGGTTTCATCCATTGGTTCAGGATTTAAATAAACTCCTTTTAAAGGACGCACATTCAAAGAATTGACAAATAACAGTGCTTTTTAGAATTGTTGCTACTAATTTTGCTACGACAAATAAAAATAATTTTAAAATTTAATTTTCAGATTGGACAGAATATTTTGTTTCCGGACATCACGTTATGCAACATTGATCCATTCGCTACAAGTCAATCAAAAGAATTTTCTCTTGACAATTATTTAGCAGCATTAAATTCAATTCAAGATCGTTTTTATGAATATATTAAAAAGACTGGACTGATTTATATATTCGACGCAAACTCTGCTGCATATATAAACAACACGTTCAACGAAATGAATTCAGTAACTGGTTACATAATAAATTTGAATAAAGAAATGCTGAAGTCCAACGACTGCCCAAACTTCATCGTCGATTGCAGTTTTTTTGCAACAAATTGGTTTAAAACCAAAGAAACTTGTTCCATTTTCAATTTCACGAAACGATGGAATGTAAATTATCATACTTGTTACACGCTTAAAAGTGGCGACTTGAACTTTTCTCATTCAAATATAATTAGGGGTTTAGATGTATTACTGAATGTTGGACCACCAAATTTTATTCAAATACCATTTAAATCGGCGTTAACAAGCTCTCAAGCGAGAGGAGTGCAAGTGAGTGTGCACAGTCCTGGAACCCCTCCCGATCTCAAACGGGGATTCAACGTGGCTCCGGGCACCGAAAACATCGTGGAAATTGTTCAAACGGAAAGAAATCGCTTGAAAACTCCTTACAACAAGTTTGCAAAAAATTTCACACGTTTTTGTATTATATTTTTTGTGAATAAATAAATTTATCAAGAAACCCTGAATTATAGATTGGGCTGTACGCGCAAGAGTCACTTTTACAACTCTTCTGACAAGTATACTCACGATTTGTGCACTGAATACTGCCAACAAGAATATACCAAAAATGTTTTCGGCTGTATTACGCACCAGTTAACTGTACCAGAGAATGAATTTGATAACATACCATTTTGCGGAAACTTCTGCTACTATTTCGATATGAATATAAACGTTTCAGCCATCGAACTAATTAAAAACACAGTTCTAAAACTAACGAACAGCTTGATTGTGAATAAAGATTTTCGTGGAATGGGCTCAAGTGAGTTAATATTTCTCAAACATTATTTCAAACTAAAACTATTTTTTAATTGCAGATGCAACGAAAACTGTAAATTGTGTAAACAACTGTCTGATGCCTTGTCATGAAATGTCATATCAATCTTTCCTCACGTCAGCAAGTTGGCCACAATCTTCTGTGCAGCTTGATCTCTTTGAAAAATTTTTTATTAATCGTGGGTGCATGTATAACCCTAGAGTAAGAGCAAGATACGTGAATTACTACGAACAAATCCTGGCTAACAAACGCGACAGAACATCTCTTCTAAACTTAACCGTAATGCCTGAATCCCTTCTCAAAATCAAATTTGTGATGAAACAAAACTTTCCTTACTTTCAAACGGACAAACCTGTATACACAGATGACATGATGATTGGAGCAGTGGGAGGAATGTTGTCCCTCTGGTTGGGCATCACCGTGGCAAGTGGAGTGGAGGTCATAGAGCTGGTCTACTTGCTGTTCAAGCGTTGCTGGGAGCATAAGAAATTAAACACATACAAATTTTACATGAACACTGTTGTTGATAACAAAACTGGTTCGCTAAATTAGATGTAACGCCTTTGTGAATAACAATAGTAAAGAAAATACAATTGGCACCATATTTTTTCAATTTTTGGAAGTTTTTGTTTTTCAATCTGGTATGTTTTTAACGCTTTGAGACGTTCATAGGCAGGAAGTAATCAGAATGATTCGTGATTTCGTGAGATTAATTAATGATTTTTTTGTATTATCTTAAATATTTGAATTTAAAAAAATTAAATTTAAGCTGATTGATTGTAACTTTTATATTACATGAAAACTTTTAAATAAGAAATAAGATTCCACAGAGCAATAAAATGTAAATTTCAATGTTCGCACAAAGCATTCATTACTTAAAATAAAATAATTCTATTTAAAACCAAAAAATCAAAAAGCAAGCAGCAAACAAAATTATAAGAAGCTTAATAATAAAATATTAAAACAATCTGAATATAAAATCAAACATCGAAATAATACACGAAACATTGAAGTTTTAAATCAAATTTTGTAACATTTAGAAAGGATTTCAATCAAGAGGTTTAGCTAGTTTCAATGACAACAACGTTTTAAAACAGTTTAACAGCAAATTTATATTTTAAGATTAAATTTAAATTGAAAATAATTGAAATAAACTTGATAGATAAGGATAGATTTGAAGGTATATGCAAACTGATCATTGGATCTTATAATTTTGTAATTGTGGTAGTAACGTTTTATTTATTAAATCAAATGATCAAAATTGAATGAAGTGGAGTGATCTGAAGATCATAAAGACGTTACAATCTTGTGACAGACCACAAAATGAATGAAATTAGAAAACAAATCAAGTTAAAACAATTTCTAGACAAAAACAATAGCATGTTTCACAGTTTCTTATTCTTGTTTATCTTCTTCGTGTATACAAATTCATAATTTATAACAGTTGTTACAGTGACGGTAGAACATCAATCAAATTTTATAAACTCTTCACTATTTTCATGTAAACATTTTAATTGAATAGTTTTGCAAATGTTTTGTTTGTTTATTGATAAACGTTCTGAAACATTGCATAGAATAATATTTTTCAACTTATATAATAAGAAAAGATACAAGAATGTGTGTGTGTGTGTTTGTGTGTGTTTTTGAGTGTATGTGTGTGTGTGTATGTATGTGTGTGTGTGTGTTTTATTATGCCAGTATACATGCCTTTTGGAATTATTAAGGAGTATATGGAGGGGTCTAAATAAATACACATGTTTATATATTGTTTAATTTTGTGAGTTGAAGGCTGGAACGTAAGCAGAAAAGAACATTGTAGAAAGACCAACCAGTTCTGTGTGCTAGCGATAAATTTACCCAAGAATATGTAATAAAGCGAGGAACAGCTCAAAATATTGACTCAGAAAGATATATTGAGAAGCAAAATTACCGCCTATCTCAATCATTCAGCTGCTAAATGTCTAAGCGATGTCGTAAAATGCTTGGATAGCAAAGTAGACAAGTGCTAAGAGCTAATAAAACTGCATACAATGTTTATTAATGAATTAACAAAGAAACAGTAAAGTGGAGATGACCTTGAGTCAAAGTTGTTTTGTGAGTATATAACGCAATTTGTTGGTAAAAATTTCAAAATGTCGTCAGATTTCATCAAGTACGTGTGAAATAAGATTTTTGAGATTTTATTGCTTATCTATCGAAATTATTTGGATATTTATTTTGTGAACCACTGCAATGTCAGCTAAAACGTATTTTTGAAAAATATTGATAGCGATCCAATATGAAAAAATAGATTCTTGAAATGCAGGAGGAAGCGGAGAAAATTAAAAGAATGAAAATTGAAAAAGCAAAACAGATGAACGATATGCCTTGTACATGGTCTGCAATGATCGCGTTACCAACATCATTGTTCACCTCACAAGAACTTAAAACAGTTGATGCCACTGCCACAAATACGTTAGACAAACCAGAAACTGGTGGCACATCAAAACGGAAAGGCAGTGTTGATTATGAAATCGCGGTGAAAGAATTGAATGAACATTCTAAAAATTGTGGTCCAATCAGCAAAACAACAATACCGTTTGATGAAAACGAAAAAGTTATCAAAATCAAAGATGAGAATGCAAACTCAGAAGATGCAGAGAAAAAAGAAATGAAAAAATGGATTCGTGAAATGCAAGCGGAAGCGGAGAAAATAAAAAAAATTAAAAGCGAAGAAGCCAAACGGATGAACGATACGCCTAGCACATGGTCTGCAATTGTCGCGTTACCAACTACATTAGACTGGCAACTCCAAAGAGAGGCCCAACAGGTCTAGGTGAAGGTGCCAGAAGAGTGAAAACTGTAAGAAGAAGAAAATATCAATATCAAGCATACGGGCAACAGTATGTAACACATTCATTTATGTTTGCACCACCTCCACCGATGTTTGCAACATCTCCACCTATGTTTGCAACTCCTCCACTGATGTTAGCAACACTTCCGCCGATGTTTGCAACACCTAGACCAATATAATTGCAACACCTACACCAATATAATTGCAACACCTACACCAATATAATTGTAACACCTACACCAATATAATTGCAACACCTACACCAATATAATTGCAACACCTACACCAATATAATTGTAACACCTACACCAATATAATTGTAACACCTACACCAATATAATTGTAACACCTACACAAATATAATTGTAACACCTACACCAATATAATTGTAACACCTACACCAATATAATTGTAACACCTACACCAATATAATTGTAACACCTAGACCAATATAATTGCAACACCTAGACCAATATAACTGCAACACCTCTTCCAATGTTTGCAACACCTCCACCAATATAGGCCAACATATAGGGGGTAACCAATGTGGGGATCTCATTACAGTCCTTATTGACATGAATTGACATTATTGACATATTGTAGCTATTAATAAATTGATAACTTTACTCTTTTACTATTAGTATAGATGACTACACTGTTTAGCATTATAAATGAAACAGTTAACGACTTTAAAATAAAAAGTTATCAAATAAAAGTTTAATGACAATAAAAGCAAACACCGTTACCGCTACGAATAAGGATAATAAAATAGTTTTTTAAATATGTTGTTAATAGCCCTATTGGTAAATCTTCAGAAAACCTAACTGCAAAAATTTATATTTTTCTCGTTTAAATAAAATTGAGTTTTTCATTTGAATGAGAGTAACACGATTGTGGTCCAATTAACCGGCATCTACTTTATGTAATTGTAATATATAAAATAACGAAACTACTCGGTGTCTCCACAGCGATAGGGGCTTCCACGAGAAAAATTATGTAACTTATTAATTTTAATATTTTCAGTGATAAAAAAGGAGAATAAACAAAAGAAATTATTATTTTTTAGTTTTTTGATAGTTTCTTTTTTCGAGTAATCTATTGCAGAAGATTTAATAACAGTTGACTCCACTCTCACATTTTCTTCCTTGCTTGCAATTAAACCCGAGACAGTTGACAGTACTGAGATGTTTTTCTCTGGTTATTATGGTGTTGGTGCTATTGATGGTGTTGCTGGTACTGGTGTTTGTTGTGGTACTAGTGTTGATGGTTTCGGTGATTTTGGTGGTTTCGGTAGAGGGTCATGATGTTTGAACTTACTACAAACTTTTTTTTTTCGTTCTTTGCAATATTTTTACTGTTACATTTGTTGTTGTTTTTGGTGTTGTTGTTGTTGGTTTTATTGTAGGTTTTATAGATGTTTTCCTTATCGTTGTTGCTATCGTCCTTTATTTTCCTAATAGGAATTGGTTCCGAGTTTTGTTTGTTTATGTTTGGGTCAGTATCGTTTTTGCTTTTTTGGGTATGAAGTTGATTTGACAGTATTGAAACTCGTCTTCAAGTTTTTAAAGATGGTAAAGTTTATTTCAATCGGTGGCTCAGTTTGGTTGCTGGTTCCAGGAACCACGTTTGCTGCCGCAACTTGGTTGCCGATTCTTGAGACTACATCTGTTTCTGCAACTTGGTTGCTGGTTCCAGGGGCCAGGTTTGTTAATTTAGTTTGATTGGCGGCTTCAGAGACCATTTCAACGGTTATAACTGCTGTCTTTTCATAAATGTTCCGTTACTCTGGTCATTTTAAACAGGTAGTTTTGCAGTTTAAAGCAGCCACTCCAACAAAGACAAATCCATCAAGCTGGAACAGCAATTTATGTTGTTGTTGTATAGACGCTTTAACGGCACTTCAGCTCTCAGCCCCGGTGCTATGTTGTGCCATTGTCTGTATTCATTGCCGTTGGCTATCAAATACTATCATAATATCTTAAATCTTTGATGAAGTTTATAACAGCGGTGATGTTCTCAATGGTTTTAAAATTATCAAAGATTTTTTCAGATATAGAATGTTTCAGCTTTATAACTTGAGATTTTTCACATAAGAAGATATGCCGTATTGTTAGCAATTTATGTACATCACAAGATAACAACTTTCTCACCATTTAAATATCGACCGTCGCTTAGTAGCTTCAAGAGTTACAATTAACAACTTGCTCGTTGTTGTAAAGTACCATCATTCATTTTTCTTAAATCGGTTAAACTTTTCGAAATTCATGTTTTACATTTATCACATAACCTGTGATTTGTTCAATTTATAGTGAGTTATGTTGAACGCAAAGTGAGCTAATTTTCTTATGGTAGACTACACTGTCGTAGTTCAGTAATTCAGTAGGCATGGAGTATAAGCCGCTTGGCTTGTCTGAGTTATTCATCAATAGCGCTTGAATTAATATAGTAATTTAGTGTCACAGTTTATACCTTCCCGCTATAATTAATTAGTAGCACTATCATGGTAGTTACGATTTAATATAGAGATAAGTAGTCAGGGTGACCGTGATAGACTGCTCTGGTTTGAATCATTTGTGCCATTTTCAGAATTTTTATTCTGTTAGAACTCACAGAGTTGGCCGGTTGGAGTAGATGGGTGTCGCGTACAAATTACCTGAGGAATGTGTAGTTTGCAAGCCATTAATTTTGTGGCATGTCCTTGTGTGATTTGTTATTACTTACTTTTTGATAAGTTATAATTAATTCGTAGATAACCTATTTGTAGTAAATAAAGATAAGCGATAATTATTTCAACCCGATGTTTTATTCTTACTCACGCACTAAAGACGGAGCCACAAACGTCTGCTCAAACTTGTGACACTACAACTTCACATCCTTAGCGAGTGATAGCTTGTGAATAATTATTATTGTCAATAACTAACCCGGAGGTAAAAAGCCCAGGTAATTAATGGCTTCTTTTAATAAAATATTAAGTATGGCAACATTTTATTTTCTATTATTCATCCATTCATTTAGTAGCAAATTAAACCATTTCCGAGGTTTGTTTGTGTATAAAATGGTCCACTTTTGATTATAAAAAAATCTGGAATTTCTAATTAACAGATCATACCTTCAAAATATTGGCAAATAAACAATATTTTTGTATCTTGAAATGACTGTTGCTATGGCGACTAGCCAACAAAACTCCAGATTAAATTCATTCCACGTTGTCAAGTGTTTGATCAACTGATCAAATTCAAGCATCTCCACATCGTGGAATCACTGCGCAAATAAAAAATAAATTTGTATTTGTAAAATTAAATAATTTTTACGTATATACATATTTATCTGCTCCTTCATTTGTTCTTTCATAACTCATTTATTTATTCATCTATTACACTCATAAACAGTTCTTGAATGATAGTTTTACCTGCACATTAGTCTAAAAATTTTTCGAAATATTGCAAAATTACGTGTTCGTATATCAAAAATATATATTTTAACTATTAAATATTTTTTAATTTAATAAACTGTTATTGATTACAAATGGCGACAGTGTAAAATATCGATAGACACTTCAGAAGTTCAGACAGGCTTTCTTAGACGTCGGGATTGTCTATAAAAAACTGGGAATGCAATTAGAACGGTTGTCGGTCGCATGTCTCACCATGGTCCTAAGTTATCATCATCTGTTGTAAAATAATTAATAATTCTTCGATGAAAAATTTTTCTGTTCGTTGTGTCATTAAATAACCAAGTGTTTCTTCAAGTTATTATGTTGACAAATCCATAGAAACAAACTGCAATTGTAAACGCTTGAATTTTTAACGTGTTAAATATAAATTAAATGTTATCTTACACCCATCACAGCATCATCATAACTAGATTTATTAATGCTATTCTTCGATCTTGTTTGATATCGTTGCATTTTGAGTTTTCAAAACACTCAATGTAGAATAAGTCGTCGTCAGCAGCTTATCTATCAAAAAAATTTCCAGCGAACTTTTAAATAAGGAATACACAATCAGATGTAGACATTGTTGAAATTAATTAGAAAAAGTGTTTTAAATATATTCTAGAACTTGTTTATCCAAACTTTTATTAATCAAAATAAAATTTTTTTGAAAAAAATGTATAACAAGTGATCAATTAATATAGACACGTTGAAATCCAGCCGCAGCAGAGTGATATAAATTAAATTTCACAATTATTGATAAACAATGTTCCATTTATTAAAGCTCGAGCTTGTAAAGTATGGAGAAACAACGTCAGTGAAAGGACTTTCAAAGTTATTCAAGTCTAAGGACGTTTTTCCCCAACTGCTATGGCTCATTTTCTTCATAAACTCTACTGGATTCATGATATATTTACTGACAAATGTGCTCATTGATTTTTATTCTTACCCATTTACAACTATGTTCGGAGAAAAAGTCAGTGCAAACAGTTTTGTATATTTTATTTTTATTATAAATTCTTTAAAAATATTTACCTTTCTACGTTTTATATAAAAATCGAATTATTAATAAATGGTACATTCCTCTGCAATCATTTTTCCAATGCTCATAAGCGTGATGGCCTGGTGGTTAAGGTCGGCTGATGCCGCTGGCAGTGCGTGCAGTGACCGGGTTCGAAAACAAAACAAAGAGATCCCCGCCTGTCACGTGCTTCGAATGTGATGCGTCGTTCAGCACGTATTCGTGTAAATGTTGTTTGCTTGTTGGCTCCTCTGAGCCTAGGAAGAGTGTTTAAGACTTTTAATCTCTTTTAACATCATTTTTTCCTTACTGAAGAATGTTTTTAATTTTGCTGTTTAATCTTTTCAACATTTTCGGCTTTGAAATTTAAACTTCGAAACATGCATTTTACTTATACATGGGAGTAGTGCATTTTAAACATGGTAAGTACTAAATAAATAAGGTATACATAGTCAAATTTTTCCATTGTAAATCAAACAGTAAACCAGAGCGACAGCAAGAACGTCATCATTTTAATAACGTATTTGACACATTAAATGAAACAATTCGTGCATTAATTCATGTGTTCTCCGTTAATGCATTTGATAAATGCAACACGTTACAACATACGATATTTAACATAATTCGAGCTGTATTAAATCCGCGCTTACGAATCTATGCTAGCATGTATGTATGTGTTTGTGTCTGTGTGTCTGTCTGTATGTACGTCTGTATATAATCCATTGTTTTATGTTTATGAGATTCAAAATGCTGTTTATCTATAAACCACAACTACACAAATTAATTAATTAATTAATTAAAAGTATCATTTTTACATAACCATCTTATCAATTAACACGATCACTGATGATAATGATAGTGGAAAAAATAAATTGACCTTAGTTAATCTTAATCAAACATAATTAAGAAATAAAATTTGGATTTTCAATCACCGATAGTTGGCGGAAGTGAGGTGTGGTGGGAAAGTTCTGTGATCACCACGTTCCTCTATCTTAACTTCAACTTTAAAGTGAAACTGCACTAAGAACTAACACTTGTTCAAAGTTATTTTCCAATTGTGATGTTAGGTGAATAAATAAGAGAGTGAAAAAAAACGGATGAAAGAAACATAATGTACCTAAAACAATAATTATATACATAAATGCACGCACACACACACACACACACACACACACACACACACGTACATATACACGTATATACATAAACATATTCACAGTAAAATTTAACCTAGATCGACAAATGATGTTCGAGCGATCAACCGTTAAATCTGTTATCCACACATGTATAAATGTACTTAAGTTATTTGTTGAACACAGGCCTAGCGCATATGTATGTGTGTGAGTGTGTGCAATATGTTTGCCTGCCTGTGTGTTTGTTTGTCTGTATGTATATGTATAATTTCTACAAGCCTGGTCTTTGTGGTTAGTAATAAAATAAAATTTGTAATGAAGAAGCTTTCTATCTATTCCACAGAGGAAACAACAATAGTAACGAGAGCAAATGATGATTTTTATGGTAAGTTGACAATCCTTTAAAATTTTTTCAAAAATTGTAACAAAAGTGAGAACATATCTGATGAACCATAGTATAACAACAAATAATATATGATTAAAACGTATAAACAATTTATTTACAAATAAAAGCTACAACCCAGCACTACAAAAACAAAACAAAACAGCAACAACGAAAACATGTAAACTAATGCACCCATCAACCATAATTCATCAAAACTCATAATTCATTTCACTCCCAGAACCTGACAATTATAAAAATGAAAAATAATAACAACAATAATAACAATAAACTGACAACACCAAGCTGACTAACGTACAAATGAACAATTACAACACAGCACTGCATTGGCTTATCAAGTAAGAAAAATATGGTTACCATTCAAAATGTTGTTAATTTCATTAATAAGTTAACTATATATATGTATTATATAATTATTTATATATATCTCTACATACATATATATAATATATATAAATATATATGATATATATCATTCATATTACCTTTCCTAACATTAAAATTTAATCTAATGAGTGAGTGAAGAAGCAAAGAATAAAAAAAGATCAGTAATGTGTATTTTTCTGTAGTTACGTATGGTCTCGGTAATTACGATTTAATAAATATATAAATAAATTACTTAATCAGTTGATTAATTAATTAATTAATTAGGTCGTTGATCAAATGGTGGAAATATAAAATGAAAAAATAATATGACCAAGTTGGTGGAAGTAAGTGAATGGATGTGATCTTCAAAGAGCTGTACGAGATGTTTTGTAATAGATATAATAATAATAATAATAATAAGAATAAGAAGAAGAAAAAAGACAATAAGAAAAAAAATAATTACAATAATAATTGAATCTATAATTCTATCATAAATACCATAACATTGGCCATACCAGTCATAAAAAACGCAATATATTTGAATCCGCAAAAACTTCATTTTAATGCCACCCTCCTCATCGCCATCTCTACTATCATCTCTACCACCACCACCATCATCACCATCACAATCTTCATCATCGTCACAATCTTCATCACCATAATAATATTATAAATATATCGACATCATGGCTATTTTGTTGTTGTTGTTGTTATCATCATATACATCCAGAAGGTAAAAAAAAAATATCATCATTGCATCAAAGAGTGATGATGAATAAATTATTTCTTGGCGGCCTTCTGGACCATCTGCTGCAATAGGGCAGTGCTGTACGACTTTGGCCTTTCAATGGGGAAGCGCAGAGCACGTGACCAAATTAGGGAGGCCAGACAGCCGAGGGCACGGGAGACCCCGAACAGTACAGTGTAATAGTTCATCTCCTTCATTCCGTAGTGCTGTCGCGATGGGAAATAAAAACAATAATCATCATACTAATTAATTATAAAAATAATTGTTATAATTAATAACATAAACTGCTGAAGCATCCTTCATTAAAAGGTCGAAGTAAAGTAGCCAATTACGAAATTATAGCACCCATCAAGTAAATTATATAAGTATTATAGCAATGAATATTAAGGTTCCCAAGAGCAATGCTTTTACAAGTAAATATGACTCCTATTAATGTCATTATTTTCATAATCATCATTTAGCTTCAGAGTTTCAAAATAATTCACATCACCATCATCATCCTCTTCAAAACGAAGCACACACGCGCATGAACAGACAGACAGACAAGCAATCACACACACACATGCATGAACATACCTGCAACAAGACTCCACTATGTGCATCAACATTTGGCCAGGGGTTCTTGACCTTCCCCAGCTGGAGAAGAATGTCGGGTACAATCTTGTACAGGTCACTGACCAGCCTGAAGAGTGGATCGTTGGGCAGGTACTTGAGGGCAAACTCACGCTGGCAAGTGTAGCGAGGATCAGTCACTCTGAGGACCGCATGTCCATAACCTGGCACCACCTGTCCAGCTTTCAGCTGTGACCAGACATACTCCTTGAGACCCTCCTGAGTGTAATCTGACCCAACCTTACCTTGGATGCCCTTCAAGAAGACTAACACTTCCTAGGAAATATTAATTTGGCTGTATTGTACATTCAATTAATCATATACTATGAAAGTAGTTTATTCACACTATGAACACTAGACTAATATGAACATTATTTATTTGCACAAACCCATGATTGTTAATACAAATCACGCTGCAAGCCTTAGCAAGAATTAAAATAATTTATAGCTCTAACAATTACAGCCCAACAAATCTCACTAGCATAAATTATTCCCACAAACCTGATTAGCCAAACCATGAAGTGGCCCAGCCAATCCATTGAGACCGGCAGCAAATGAGAGGTAGGGGTCAGAGAGGGCACTGCCCACAAGATGGCAAGTGTGAGCACTGACATTACCACCTTCATGGTCACTGAGTGGTCAATTACAATTAACATTTCAATGATCACCTTATATGGCACTGATACAAATCTTCCAATTGTTACTAAATAAAAACAGAGCTGGAATGTTATATCATAACTTTATATTAATATGCTACTTTCTCAACGCACGCACACACACACACACACAAACAGCCCACACACACACACACACACACATAAAACCAGCAACAGACCTATGAATGGTGAGATACAATCTGAGGAGATCAGCAAACTGAGGATCTTCATAGCCCAGCTGACTGTGGAAGTTTGCAGACCAATCTTTGTTAGGATCAATAGCACCCACACTGGTACCGTCCCTATACAGGTTCCTATTGTGGTGTGCGTATCAAGCTTAAGTCATCGTAAGTAAAGGGAGGAAAAATAATACTTTTTGTTAGTATTGTGGCGGGTTCCTAATTCAACAGAGATAGTAGAAAACAAAACATAGTCAAATTAAACTATTGATTACAGTGCAGTTATATAAGTTTAACTATGATGATGCAAATACTGTAAATGAGCATGACCAACAAAACTTCTGCAAACATACCTGTAGATGATAGCCGCAATCGTTGGCAATTTGGCAATGAGATCCATGGAATCTTCATAAATGTACTGGTGGAATTCATTTCATCGATTAAATTCAATACTGTCAATTTGATCAAAAAAAATTTTTATGGGAAACTATTGTTCATTTATTTGCCTTACCTCCCAGTATTTATCTCTGTGTATTCCCTGACTGTATGCCTTTGCAAACTTGCTCTCACTGTTGCACGCAGTGACGGCTGCTGAGAACTGGGCCATGGGGTGAAGATTGGATGGAAAGTTCTTCAGCATGGTCACCACATGTGATGGCAGACCTGCTCTGTTTGCCCATTCCTTTATTTAAATATAGACAAACAAATGTATGATACCAAATAATTACCCCTAAACAAACAAAAGTAAAGCCCAGCAAGTGGAAAAATTATTTTGAAAAAAAAAACCTGAGAAACAGCCTTCGCCTGAGCATCAGAGGGCATCTTGCCGGTGCACAGCAGCCAGAACAATCCTTCTGGAAGTGGTTCAATTCCACCTGGGGCCTTTGGCAACATCTTCTGGCAGTCTGGAATGCTGTAACCACGGAAACGGATACCAAACTCAGCATCAAGTACTGATGTTTCTGTGATGAGACCTTTGATTCCTCTCATTCCTCCGTACAGCTGAAAAAGTAAATGGTGAGATTATGGTTATATATAAATCTGATGCTAAAGTTTTAATTTGCACAGTCAATTAAAACCTGATCAATGGTGACTTCCCCCAATGAAAACTTTCCATGTTCTGCTACAAACTTCTTGACAACTTCTCTGTGCTCTGGAATCAAAACTGCTAACTCTTCCTTGAGATTCTAGATATATTATGAATAAATAGGATATAAATAATTCACTTTATTGCTATAATTTAATATTACATAGTGATGAAAATGCTAATTTAATATTACATATAAAATAAAATCCGTAATATGTATGTAATATGTATGTTAGCTTGGTCACTGATGTGACTACTAAGCTAACATATACCAAATTATTGATGCAAATGACACTAACGGTAATTTCAGGTCCAGTGGTTTTGGATCTTATCTGACAAGCAGGTAGTTGGTACAACAGTGCTCTCTGTGATCATTTCAGTAGATTGAACAATCGAGTCATTTCATTTTTATTTAGTTACAACTTTTATTTATTTGTATAAAAACTTTGAAATGAACTAAAATTCTAAACTAAAAATAATATTAAAAAATTCATATTCAAATAAATAAGATGGGAGCCTTTTCAAAATAATACCAATTTTTATAAATTATCTTCCTGATTAGTGATTTAGCAAATCAATGGATGTAACACAGTGAATTAAAAAATTGAACAGAAGTTGAAAAAGGTCAAAAAACTGGGAATTTAAATTGAAATATAGAGTAGATCAAATTGTTCAATTATGTGGACAGTGTGGTTTTTGGATAAATTAAACTTTCTTTAAAACACCTATAATTAGTAAATCAATAAAAATGACATTTTTAAATGCATTTTTTAGGATTTCCGGAATGGGTGAGGTGAGACCAACCTCCAAATAAATTATCATAATACGCCGACATTCAAAACGGCAATTATTAGCCCAAAACTACCCTTACTTTAAACGAATGATTAAGAGTTAGTGCCGCAGACTTCCAGACGGACATTTTCCCTAACTTTCACTGAAGAAATAACGAAATTAATAGAAAAAATCTAGAAGACTACGTGCGAACGGGAACAACGATAGCTAGCTTATCGAGAGCAAAGAAATAAAAATATTTATCCTTGGCTGTTTGTGATAAAAATGGAAGGTTATATTTTTTCAAATAATCTTATTTCTTGTACTTTATACTTATTTTTATCACAAATATTTATATATATATATATATTAATTTATATGAGTATATATCTTTATCTATTTTTATATAAGATGACTTGAACAGTAGAAAACTTTTTATTTTCATTTTTTACTAACAAGTTTATTCAAGAACAAACCAAGGTATGGGTTAATAGAAATTGTTATTAAAATATGAAATGTAAAATATTTATATGAAAGGAACAGAAAATATCATTTATTTTTTATTTTTTCACCGCAAATAATTAATTAAACATCAAAAAGAAATGTTTTATTAAACACCAAAAAGAAATATTCACAAATGTAATAAGTTAAAATAATAATTTTTTTATTTTAAATAAACTGAGATCTAAATATTCAATCTCAATCTACCAGCAACATCTAACAATTTAAAAAAAATATTTCTAATTTCAAGATTTATCTGTTTAATTATTCAATTATTTCAAGTTTAGGTAACAAATGTTGTTGTTGCTGCTGCTGTTGCAGCTCGGATTTTTCCAAATCTACTTGTTTATTTTCTATCAGTTGCTGGTTGTTGAAATCATCTTGCCGATCCTGTTGTACTGGAAGTTGTATCTGTTGCTTTGGTTCATGTTCATGTTTTGCTTCTGAAAGTTCTTGTGCTGTTTGTTGCGTTTGTTGTGGTTGTTCATCTGGTTTTTGTTGCGCTTGTTGTGGTTGTTCATCTAGTTTTTGTTGCTTTTGTTGTGGTTGTTCATCTGGTTTTTGTTGCTTTTGTCGTGGTTGTTCATCTGGTTTTTGTTGCGTCTGTGGCTGTTCATCTGGTTTTTGTTGCGCTTGTTGAGGTTGTTCATCTGGTTTTGGTTGCGTTTGTTGTGGCTGTTCATCTGGTTTTTGTTGCATTTGTTGTGGTTGTTCATCTGGTTTTTGTTGCATTTGTTGTGGTTGTTCATCTGGTTTTTGTTGCGCTTTTTGTGGCTGTTCACTTGGTTTTTGTTGCGTTTGAGGCTGTTCATCTGATTTTTTTTGTTCTTCTTTATGTTCTTTTTCAAGTTGTTTTTTCTTTGGTTTCTTTTTCGTCTCTTTTTCTTTTTGCACTTTCGACGACTTCTTTTGCTGCGTTATTTTCTTTGGTTTATTTGCTTGTTGTGGGGGATCTGTGTCTTGTGTTTGTTGTGAATGTTCATTTTGTTCGTGAGAATTTTTTTCTTGTTTTGGTGGCACTTGTTTTTTTTGTGGTTGCTTCCTTGGTGTCTTTTTCGATTGTTTTGCTTTGACTGGTTTCTCATCTGTTTGTGGTTCCTGCTCCTGCTGCTTCTGTTGTTTTTGCTTTGGCTTTGTCTTTTTTACAGTTGTTAGCACTGTTTGCAAATGTTCATTCTCATTATGTTGTAGTTGTTGTTGCGACTGTATCGCCGGTTGAATTTGTTGCGGTTGATCGTTTTGTTGATCTTGATGGTTTGTTTGCGGTTGTAGTTGGTTTTGTTGTGATTGCTGTTGGGATTGTGGTTGATTTACTGGTTGTAACTGTTGCTGAGGCTGTTGCAGTTGATCAGGTTTTTGATCTTTTTCTTGTTCTATGTCTTGATGTTGCGATTCATTTTTATTTTGCTGTTGGATGTCTTTCAATTGCTGAAGTTGTTGTGGTTGTTGTTGTGGTTGTTGTTGGAGTTGTTGTTGTTGCTCTTCTAATTTAGTTTGCAGTTGTTGAGGCTGTGGAAGAGTTTGTTGTTCGTTTCTATCCTTTTGTTGTTTTTCTCTTTCCAATTCGTTTGTTTGTATTTGATTTTGTTGTTGTAGATACATTTCTTGCTGTTGTTGTGTTTCTTGCTGTGGCTGTTGTTGCGATCCTTGGTGATTTTGTTTGGTTTCCTGAACATGTTCCTGATCAGTTTTCTTTTGCACATCATTAATTTGTATGCCTTGCTTACTAAGACTATTAGTTGTAGCCGCAACTTCAGCCTGTTTATCAGCTGCTTGTTGGCGGTCGTCGCAACTACCACCAACAACATCAGCAACACTTTCGTCATTAATTTTGATCGCTGGAGATTTCATATCCGTTGTGATATCAACAACTTTTTCAGTGGCGATTTCGTCATGTTCCACGTGACTTTTCCTTTTCTCAACGATCTCGACACCAACAACGTACTCTGGAGTTTCTGATTTTTCCACTTCGCAACCTATCATGAGGCTCTCCCCTTCTGATAACCTCTGCTCCGTCGGCAATCTCTTCACGAATAGTGGTTCTGGTTTTAGGGTTACATTGCATTCATGATTAGTGGTGAGTATATGATGGTTGAATTTAATTTTAAGAAGTTAATTTTTAAATTTATAGAGTTAATTTTGTAGAAATGTTGGATGATATTAAAAAAGAAAATGCAATCTTTTGTTAGAGACTCATTTTCAAGTGATCCGTAGTTGTGATTATCTCAAATTCTGTCTCCGAAGCCTCTAAATCATCCTCAATTCTGTTTAATAGTTTCGATGAAATAATTTTATTTACAAATTCTTCAATTTCAATAAACAAGTTTAGTTTAAAATTTTAAAATATTCATGTAAGTTAAAATTATTTTTTAGCAAGGGTTTCAGAACTTAAATACTTTATTACACAATTCAAAATTCTATTCGAAAAACTAAATTTAAAAGTTTTCATTCTTATAATAAAAATTATCTTTACATAAGCGAAACTTATATGTTAACAACTCGAATTAATAAAAAAAATTTCAGTCGAATGATGAATAAGATGAATAAAATTTCACAGCGGTTTGTAGAGAAATCAAACTGGCTCACTGCCTATGAGTGACGTCAACTTCGAAAGATTGTTTGACCAGTGAGACGCCATCGTGTGCAGTGATTGTGTAGAGACCTGCATCGCTCAGTTGCACCTCCTTTATCTGCAGCATGTGCTGCCAGCTGGATTCCTCGACGATTCTGTACTTCCGCGATGGAGAGGAAGATGATGGCGAGGAAAATGAGGTCAATTCTTTCAATCCTTTGTACCATGTTACTTGATGGCAGGTTAATTAATTTTATTTATCTTCTATTCTCTTTCGTGGAATTTATTTAATTTAACGGTTAGCAGTTCATGACAAGCTTTGCACAAACTTAACGAATACACAACACACGTACCAGAACTTACCAGAAAATGTGCACACACACATATACACACAAGTACAGACGTACATTTAAGTAAACTTAAACACGCACGCACGCACAGTCAAGCAAATATTCATCTAAAATAAAAGAATAATTGTTCTGATTGCAGGTTCTCCAACGGAATGTTTGATCGCGTCTGATAACGGCAGATGAATGTTTATTTTACATATTCCGTAGTGCAACAGAACCGATTTACTACTGCTACACACTCACGCACCACACACACAGATACCAAAAACACACACGCACACGTAAAAAGGCACTCACGCACACACCCGTTTAACTTAAAAGCTTCCAATATGTGTTCTAGCGCTTAAGAACTATTTGCTGTATGCTATGCATCTCTGTGCAATTTTTAAGCCCATGCGTGAACAGGTATTTTGTTTGTTTACTAAATTTTACCCACCGACTGGCTTTAAATGACCTTCAAGGAAACATCTCAAGGTCAGCGGTTGACCTTCGATCACGTGAACACGTGGAGATGGGGTCTTTGTGAAGGTGAGAGGTTTTGCTAGGGCTTCATCTGATTGGGTGAAATTAAGTTATTAAGTCTAACTAAATAGGTAATGTTAACACAAAATCTAGAAACATAGATTTATTGTTACCATGTACTTTTTACATAGGAGTGCTACTAATAATAATTTTCTGAATTCATTTCATTAGCATCATGTTTTTTTTTCTCACGTTACACGTTGAATCTCATGTTACGCTGGCACTAATTCTAGCTATAATGAGATTCTAAGTTACAGAAGAAAGAAAGTTAATGCTTAAAATGTGATGTTGTATTCGAAACTAGATTAATTTTGAATGAATGTTGAAGTATGATTGAAGTAATGTAACAGAAGACTGAATGAGAACATCAAACGCAACCTCTGCTTATGACGTCGAGATCGGCATCAAAAGCAACGCGGCCCACCTCGCTACTCACCTGCACTCTGTAGAGGCCCCTGTCGTCAACCTGCGCCGAGTTAATGCGCAGCGAACATAAGCCGTAGTTGTTCTGTTGTTGGGTTGTTTGTTTGTTTGTTTGTTCAGTGGTGTTGTCATTCGAAATTTTATTCAGTGACGATTTCACTTATTAAATATGCATTTATTAATTTTAAATAATTTTTAAATAAAATGTTTTTTTCAGCACCACACTAACAGTAATAAGATATCGACCTCCGCTGATTATCTCTTCGTTGTTTTTGAACCAGCGTACCGCAACTTCGCAACTGCATGCGACCTCGAAACTGAACCTCACTGCCTGGCCTTCGAGAACTTGCTGAGAGTTGAAGGTGGAAATGAACCGAGGATGTGCATCCACTTCGGTGTCGGTCGATCTGAAACGAACCGATTTATAATCCGACAAGTATTCTTCGTCGATATATAATTGAGATGATTTATGCTTGATGTAATCATTTTTGTTTATGTTGATGACGTAATCGTTGTCGTCACAAACATTCTCATCACGGTTCATCATCATTATGTCTCTCCTGGACTTGTGCACTTTGTGGTACTCTGCTTCTTGGTGTTGTTGCTGATGTTGTTGCTGATGTTGTTGCTGATGTTGTTGTTTCCTTTTTATGTAACTTTCATCCTCATAGACAACTTCCACCTCGTCATGTCTCGGATAGCACCTCCTCAAAAGGTCTTCCACATCCATCCCTTCTAACTGACATCCACGCGGCAAAACTAAAGTTTCACGAATTTTCACGTGACACTCTTCAACGTTTGAAATTTTTCTAAAATTATTCACTCCGTTTGAGATGGCGCCATGACAGCTGGAAGGTTTATGGTACACGAAATTTTGCAGGATTATCAAATCTTTTGGAAACAAACTCCTGTTTTTCTTAATGAAGTGCTCTAACGTCGGTAAGTTGTTTTGCATCTCGTCGGTCTTCCTTGCGAATTCATCGATCGCGATATCAGCCCAAGTATTGTTTGTAACATTTACAGTTGCACCGTGCGTATCTTCCTCGCTCGTTTTCTGTTTCGTTTGCGTGTATATGATGGCTCTCTCGCCAGACGGCAGTACGTTCGTCGATACGTCATCGGGCTCGAAGCTTTCTTCAGGTTTCAGAACGAGCTGTGCAATGTCTCGTCTGTCGAGGACCGTGTCGGTGTCGGTATAGTTTTTCGATTTGAGTTTTTGCAGTTCTCTGGTAATTTTTTTGGCTTCCAAGTCCTTGCTCAGATGATCAATTTTATTCAACAAATTTTCGTTGATGATTTTGTGCTCAGACCAAACACTATCAGTACTTTTAATGTTTTCGTAATCAGTTTTTTCAATTTTCAAAGTTTCTTGCAAAGGTCTTATGAATGAGTTGTGATCAAATTTTTTATGTGGTCCAAAGTTTTTTATATCAAATTTGTTATAATAGAATGACAAGGACGAAGTTAGAGGTGATTTGTAGTTCAAGTTTTCGCGTATTGTATTTATTTTAACCTTGTTTCGAGGCGTTCTGCCAATGTTGAATGGTGCATCAAACGAATACTTCGCAGAGGCAGTTGGTTGAACTCGTGTTCGGTAGTTCTCAACGACATCAGAGATACGTTGGTGAATCGTTTTTGTCTCTTCATCATTCAGCAGTTCGTCGTAGCGATCGCCCAGACTTTTCAATCTACTCGAAGTGGTATGCTTTACATGGACAGGCTCGTGCATATAGAACGATTTATCGTAGGAATACGATCTCTGCAACGTTCTGCCTGCTGAAGATCGTCTGCTCAATCGATCGATTGTTGGTTCAGAATTCTCGCGTCGACTTCTACTGTACCTGTTGACATTGTAATAATTGTTGTCAGCGTAACTGTAGTCAGATAGAGCATTACGTTCCATTCGATACTTGTAATCGTCAAAAACCGGATAATTTCCAGAAGTCGATGGACGAAAATAATCGGCTGGGTATTGATAATCGGAATCGTAGGAAGGACTTCTTTTGAAAGCATATGACATTTTATTATCGTGAACGTAATCATTGTCGTAACTGTATTTGTAACATAGTACGGCGCTGTCACAATATTCATTTGAATAAGTTGAATCGATAGAAGATTGAGCTTGATGTAAAACAGAACTTGTGCTTTTTAAATCAAGAGGTTCAGATAAATTGCGGGCTAAAGATTGACGATATGATAGCGAATCAGACGCGAAAGATCTAGGTCGGGATGACCTGGGTAACGAATATCTGAGATCTGATTGGCCTGTAGCGTACCGGTCTCTAAAACCGGTTAATTCTGAGTTTCGAAGCCAGGGTGATGAGATTATGTAGTCGGTATTGCAGGCCATCACTGCTCAATTTAAATTACCCCTGGTGAAAATAATTTTTAATGTTATTAAGGTTGAAATGTTGAAAAGTGTATTTAAATATCTATCTGATTTTTACTACGATGTTTAAAAAAAAAGTTTCAAATGTTCTGTGATTAAAAAAAGACAACATAAAATTGCATAAAATGAAAAAAGTTGTTATCTAGAATCTCCTTGGGACTCTGCACAATGTCAAGTTGAAATCGAGTTTATATTTAATTTCTTCCTCCAAATAATTCGAAAAAACAAAAAGTAAATAAAATTTATGAGGTAAATAAGAACCTTTTATAAAAAATAATTCAAGTATAATTATCATAAAAATGCCATGTTCGACTAGAAATAACAAAAACTTTATAATAACAAAATAATTTCTGATAAACTTAGCATGTTTGGTATAGACGCTATATACATAACATAAACAGTACAACCGCAATATTGACAAGTTATTGAAAACAGTCATGGTCTATGGTCTATTTGAATAGAGCCTGTAACCTGCGTATGTTCAATTAACAAATTTCTTGCCTTCGTTTTATACTTTTATTACTCATAATTATTATTTTTTCACTTTTATCATAAATAAATACTACTAATAAAAATTATACTATACTTATGATATATATGCTGGTGTATTGCTTGTACGAATGAAATATTTTAGATTTAAGCTTAAAGATATTGTAAGTTAAATATCTATGGACAACACGGATCTATTTTAAAACGACCTGCAAATTTGAAGCAATAAATTCTGAAATATTTCATATAGTTGACATGACGCGCTTCATAATTTATCAACTGATGACATTAAACAATACGTCACATTGTCTGCGGGGCTTCAAACACTTTTGAATGAATGAACGAACTAATAAACGAATGAATGGATGAATTAATTAATGAATGAATGAGTGAGTGAGTGAATGAATTGTTATGAGAATTTTCAAAATGCCTACACTAGACTCAAAAGCACGATCGCTATCGTTGAATTTAACGTTGAAAAGACGATCCTTGACTTGTGATGATACGATTATTGAATATTCTTGAAATGTCTCTTCAAGTATGTATTAATACGTTCAGTGTGACTCTATGTGTATGCATTGTTCTTATGTGGAGTTTCAAACTTTTATGACTAAGTACTGAGTAAGTTTGGATGCGAAAGTTCTATGACGGGGATTTGAAATTGCTAAAAATTTGGAAAGTGTCTATTTGTTTGAATGTTTGTACAACGTTGATTTTGAGATTTCGGGCTAAAATATAAACTCGAAAAATATTAACGACAAATATATATGCCATTGATGACAGTAACAACTATGTCAATAATAATAATAATTTTATTATTATATTATTATTATAATTGCTACTAATATTAATACTATTACAAAATTATTTTGAAAATGTAACTTCAAACATGAACCAACTTGGTTGATAACAGACTGTTAGTTCGTGAATGATACCACGAAATCGTACAACAAGACTCTTCAAGTAATGAAATATGCTTGTCTTGTTATTATTAATGGCTTCCTCTTCTTAACGAAAGAAAAAAAAATTTATTTTCACCAAATAAACACCTGTCTTACAACAAACAACGCCAAAAAACAACAACTCCAACAATCTCAGAAATTCCTCAAGGACTTTTTGCCAACGAAGAATTATTATTATATTCATTTACTGTGCGCCAAACGTGATGAGGTGAGAACTCGTCTTTTAACGAGTTGAAATTTCGCGAGAGACTCCAACGCACCGTGATTGCGCGCTCGCACGCACGCACGATAAACAGAAAATATTTGCGCAAATTTTAAACAAAACAATATTCGCTTTATATGTGCATGTATATAATATATATATACATAAAATTATATTTATAAATTAAATATTTGCTAAAACATGAAAACTTAAAAAAAATAATATATATAAATTATACAATAAAACTCGTTTAATTATCTAATTAGTTTAATTCTAATTTGGTCGGTTAGTTTAATAACACATTTTGAATATTGAATGAATCCTATTTATTTGCAAATTATTAAAATAATATAAATACAAATTAACAGAAATATTACGTACCACACAAACACAAAACCATTCAGTGATGTTTAATCTGAAAATCGAAATATCGATGTTGCATGCATGTAAGAGTTGGTTTGAGCTTATGAGCGCGGTTCATTTCAATACAATGGTAAATAATATTATATATTGATTTTATAAAAAAAACGTATATTGTATGAAAGTTTATATAGAAGAAAGCTTTTCAAGAAAAAACCATAGCACATCTAACAAGCAATCTTATCATCCAATCCATTTGCTTGTTTGTATGTATGTATGTATGTATGTATGTATGTATGTATGTATGTATGTATGTATGTATGTATGTATGTATGTATGTATGTATGTATGTATGTATGTATGTATGTATGTATGTATGTATGTATGTATGTATGTATGTATGTATGTATGTATGTATGTATGTATGTATGTATTCGTATGTGTGTGCGGGTGTGTGCGTGCGTGCATGCATGTAGTATATGTGTTTGAACTTAGATTAGTTGCGATGCACACGAGTATGCTATGCAAGAAGTTTTTGCATGTGTGCGTATCCAAGCGTTTGAAACTGACTGAATGTTATTAGATGTTTTCAAGTATATGTATATGTATGTGTGTTTGTGTGTGTTTGTATGTGTTTGTGTGTGCGTGTATGTTTAGTCTGCTCTAAGCAAATTTTTGTTTCAAGTTAAAAAAAAAACAGAACTTCTTCTCTTTTAACGGTCATGTTGTATTATAAAAGTTCTTCCAGTGCATAATATAATGCTATTGTTTAGTTACGTTATTCATTTTTAGATATGTTCTGAACTTTTATACAAACTGTCAATTTTATTTTAATTATAAATAAGAATAATGGTGATAATAAGATTTAGCTCGTGATAAATTGCTTTTTCCTTCTGTTCCAGTCGTTAAAGATAGATAAATTGAATTAATTTCCATTGCGAAATTGGCATGAACGAATCTGTTTGGTTTTTTATTCCCTTTGCCGCAACACAAGCGCCCGAAATGGCAATCAAATAAAAAAATACTTTTTAAAAATATAAATTCATTAACATTTATATTTTTTTCACCAAATTCCTGAAAATGTTTTGCACAATCACGAAGAAAAAAAGAGACTCATGTGCCTACCTGTGTCGAAAATGCAATCATGTAAGATAGCATTTAACGATGGTAGGGATGGAGAGCATGCGAATGGTTGAACCAACTCTATCTCGCAAATAGTAGAAATAAAATTGAAGTAATTAAGAAGGTTTATGAATTTGATTTGAAAAGTTTTTAGGATGATGATGAATTCAATAAAAGTTGATGGGGGTGATAAAGATGAGGATGCAATAGATCAACGATCAATTTAATGTTGGGTTTTACTCTGGGTTTACATTTTACTCTCTTTTGTTTCCTTTTCATTTCAGTTCAATATAATTCGATTCGTTTAAAATCAATATTTGCGTTATTTCGATGTTTTTATGTTTTTTTGTGATTATTACAAAAGTTACAGAAGTTACAAAATCACTTTATAATTTATAAAAGATTACAATAACAGTTCTATAAAACAGCATCAACAACGTTAACAAACATCCTTTTGCAACAATTGTACTTATCTAACAAACACACACACTTAACACGCATAGAGAATCGCGGATACATAGACGCACATACATACACACGTACCACACACACATGAATGAATGAATGGATGAATGAATGAATGAATGATGAACGAGCGAACAATGAACGAAAAACGAATTAATATTCGTATATTTATATATATATATATATTTGTATAATACTTTATAAAATAAATTATGTACTCTACAATTATATTTTATATTCTATACATATGTGTGCGTTGGTTAGAACAAAGACATTAACAGTATGTGGTTTCAAGGGGAGGCCTATTTACCAGCATACAACACCTTCTTATGGGTTGAAGCAGGGATATGCAAAGAACCTTAATTTTTTCAACCTTTAATTATTTTCAGTAATGTCTCCCATTGCTCCAAACCACATAACTAGAATAATAGGACTAATCGATCAATTCGATCTATCGGTCGGGCTATTTGTCGTGCTTGGATTGTTGGCTTACGAAATTGCATGGATTTTAACGAGCAAGCTAAATGAAATATTTACTTGATTTAATATGCTTAAAACATTGTAGTAATTCTATTTAATTTTAATAATGATTAATAGAATTATGTATTATTAAATTATGGATTATTAAATTACGGATTTTTTCTCATGTATACAATACTATGAGATAAATCAATCAATCAGTCAGTCGGTCGGTCGGTCAGTCAGCCAGCCAGCCAGCCAGCCAGTCTGTCAGTCAATCAATCAACCAACCGATCAATCAACTGATCAATCAATCAACTAAATTGAATGATCCAAATAAACAAAAATAAAAACAAAAATAAAAAAATTTGCAAGGCCTGTTTAAACTCGAACAAACAGTTAACCGTACAGATCTACAAACAATTTCGAGATTTTAGTAAAGAAAGAAAAACACAGTAGTTGCATTTATTTGAATTCATTCAAAAATGAAAAGTGACGGTTAATTAAAATTTTAAAATGCCAATTTTTTTTTAAATTCGTATTTTAAATAAACAAATATAACAAAATATCGACCGATAAAAATAATTATTATCCATTATTATTATTATTATCATACACACTCCTTAGAAGTTCTCGAAGGATAATAAACCACGTAACATGAACATTTAGTAAGAACAGTTCACAACATATCATAATGACTAAATCAACATACTAAACAGAAATAATTTATACATGCATATATACAAAGTAAATCAAAAAATATCCAAAAATTATATAACCAATTTAAAAAAAAACTAGAAACCAGTCAACATTTAATGAATAAATAAATAGACATTAAAAAGATTGTTCAAAAAGGTACAATTTAAGGCGACGACGAGAATGAAATGTAGTTTGTTTTGTTG